AAGAATTACCAATTAAATCTTTTCCTTATTGTATGAAGCTACATCTCTGCTGACTTTAATTTTGTTTTGATTTTGAAAAATAATTATTCCAAACTGCCAGTATGAAATATATATGTTGGTATACTTCTTTTAAGTGAATTGCACATGCCCAAAATCATTGCTAAATGGTTAAAATTGCAACTTATTTTTCTCATTTTTCATGTGTGTTTAATAACAAGAACATTCTATGTTACTTTGTCAAGAATTGACCAAGAATCTAGAAGGAAAACAACCCAATAGTATCTAGATGGAATAATTTCAGAGAAAAACAATCTAACAGTATCTAGGTGGAACAATTTTTGAGAAAAAAAACCTAATTATATCTGGGTGCAATAATTTTTTCATTATCTATTAGGACAGATTCATTATATGAAACAATACAAAGTGTAGAGCAAAATTTGCACCCTACATCTAAGTGGGTGGGGGAATCCAGGTAAGCAATTGTGATGTTTTTGCCACTGCCATTAAATTGATAAATCTAGTATGAAAATATATCAAACTGGTAACCATGCAAGTATCCAAGAAATTAAGAAAACAAACAAAAAATAATAAAATGAATTTAGGAAGACTTTATTTTAGTTGTGTAGTTCTAGTTCTATAACAAACTAATTTTATTGCACAATATACGTTTTTATGTATGATAATGAAAATACAAATGTTTTCAGTAGCTAAAATATGTTAATCAGTTAAATACATTGACCTAAAACATACAGTTTTGAGAAAGATAATCCAATCTACATACATACTGCTTTAAATGTTGAAGATGTGTTTATAAACAAAAAATACCCCTTAAAAAAAGAGGGAAATCAAACTTCGAACTTTTAAGAAGAAAAAAAAAGGATGAAAGAATGATATCTTATTCAATTTCTAAAATTTGAATATTTAACCTTGCCAGTCAAGGTCATTAAGAACAAAAATGTCAAAGGTTTCACGATTGAAAATAAAGCTTTTTGTCCAGAAATAAGTTGTGTTGAAGAATATTAACAAAATCCATTAACAATATGGCTGATCTATCAATCCAGGGGGGATAAATTACAATATCTTTTTTACTTACTAGCAGATTTTTTTTAATTACATTAAAGTGACTAAAGCTTTATATATGCTGTCAAAAATCATTCTTTGAAAATTCTTCCAAAATGCTTGATGAAAGAAATATGGTAGTATACTGCCTTAAAAGTGAAATGTAAAGTATATTTGTATAAGTCATATGACAATTTATAGAAGAAGATTATGTACTCTCTCTATTTATTATTCACAACACTAACAGACAACTACATAGAACCATCAAATATTACTCTTGTGTGGTAACTCCACATGAAGAAAACAATATCAAGAAGAAAACTGTCAATACTATATCTAAACCAGATACATTAACAAATTATATCCAAGTACAACAAAGCACTATAACATACATAGTACATAACACATTTCACAATCTCTATATAATGTATATGCAAATTAAAACTTTCTCTTGGCAATGACATCGTACAGATTCAACTCTGTCCGACTTAAGTAACAGGAAGTACATAAAACTTATTGTTTACAATAACTTTAACATACATATGTATACATGTATATGTAAAGTTTGTCCTAACAAGTTTACATAGACATTTGGGCCACGTCACAACAAAACAAACATAGTGCATTTGCAACAAGCATGGATCCAGACCAGCCTGCGCATCCGCGCAGTCTGATCAGGATCCATACTGTTCGCTTACAAACCCTATAGCAAGTAGACTGATAGAGAACAGTATGGATCCTGATCAGACTGTGCGGATGCGCAGGCTGGTCTGGATCCATGCTGGTCGCAAACGCACTATGTTGGTTTTGTCATGACGCAGCTCATTTGGTGAAATAAACATACATCTCAATAATCCATTTTAAGACAAAATGTAAAGTACCATCATGCCGTAGGGCATGTGAATGAATTCAGTAACCTTAACTTTGTCACAGAATACCCTTAAGTATGAAGACAATTTAGTGAAAAATATTTTATAAAATTTAGAAGACAATAATCCAGTCACAAGAGTAGACCTACATAAACCACTTGAAGATCTTGTTAAAGTTGATAAGTCCAAAAATGAGCCGCGCCACGACAAAACTAACACACACTGTTTGCGACCAGCATGGATCCAGATCAGTTTGATCAGGATCCATGCTTTTCGCTTACAAACCCTATTACAAGTAGAGATACTGACAGCGAACAGCATGGATCCTGATCAGACTGTGCAGGCTGGTCTGGATCCATGCTGGTCACATACACACTATGTTGGTTTTGTCATGGCGCGGCTCAAATATAAAATTTTGCTTCCAATTTAATAGGTCTTTAAACCTAAAGCAAACTTAAAGTGAAAAAGATTTGGTATATCCATGGATAAAGTCTTGTGATACCTTTACAATTATAGTGATCACTTTACATGAATTATATCCCAATTGAGGTAGATACCATTCTTTTGCTCAATTCACAGAATCACAGCTAAAGAAACATCTGACCTAGGCAGAAATTCCTGTTCCATTTCTGAATACATCATACAGCTTTTTTGTTGTTATATAGATGAAAATGAACACATATTTAGCACTGTATTTCATGCACTATGTATGCTGCTCCTGTTACAGTTTTTTTTCACTACGCATACAAGTTTTTGAAATATCACTTGTCTGCTGGCAGCACTTCTCCTTTTGTTGACAGTTTGATCAGCTTTAGGGCTCTCAATACCTGAAATATTACAGCATTTGAATTATTCTTCCACTTGGTGTATATTAATACCCATATCAATTATGTTTGGAATAGAGAGTTTTTCACATGTCAATACTGGAATCCACTTATTGAATATTATACTTACATTAATTTAACACATTGTTATATGAATTAGGGTATAAACCACAAGTTATTTTCTATAAGTATGTTTTTTTTAATCATTAAATCTGAACTGTTACTCACTCTATAATAATAATTCTTAACTCAAGTACCACCTTCGGTAGTCCAGGCTATTTACTGTATACAAGTATAGTTAAATAAATGCAGTATATACGGAATGTGTACCATGGGAATACACTTTGGTACTGGCGCCAATAATGACAAATGTTGCAGTGATGACAGAAATCTAAATTTACTGATTATAACAGGTAGGTTATAAACTTAATTGGAAGATTTATATTACGCAAAAAGGACAATGTCATTGCTATAGACTTACTGTCCTTTGACTGTAGATACTTTTAGGTAATTTTAGACTTTTTTCACCATTTCTTAAAATATTTTAAGCGAGTTAAAAATTTTATGATTTTTCTTCAGAATATAACAGCTGTTCGAACTAGCCCAGTTGAAGAGGAAAAGCTGCCCTTGTAGGCAGAAATGCTCTGAAAGTGGTTTACATTTTGACAGAAAATCAAGTTCACTCTATTATTAATTTCTTTACTCTTAGCAACAAATAAGACTTTAAACTATCATTTGCAATATTTTTCTCAAAAAAAGTTCCTTAAAAACATGTCATTTTAGAACCTTAGAACTCTATGTTCTATTTGCTCCTGCAAAAAATCTGGTTCTGTCATTCTAAAAAATCTGTCCTAAACAAAATTCATCTTGTTACCTCCCTTACCCTTAGCATGCTTGTGAAAACTTAATCTACATAATAATGCCGACCTTGAAAATAAACCTTCCACAAAAAAAAGCCACCAATATCTTACCAAAACTTACAATAAGCCACAGCTCATTTTCCAACGTTTATTGTATGTGAGCAGAGCAGACCAAGATCAGCCAGTACATCTATGCTGTCTGATCAGGGTCTACATTGTTCACTATTTTCAGTATATATTTTGTCATTTTCGCTAAAGGATAATATGGTTTTGTCCAGATTGAATGATGGATACCTCCATTTAAACATGGTAATGGTTAAATTAACACTGTTATATTTTCTCCCCAACAGGATATTCAGCTGAACAAAACCTGTTTTGTTACCAATTCATAAAATATCTATCACTGTTTCCCTCTATGATAATTTTTGAAAATCAATAATATACTTTGTCAGCATATTACCCTAATATACTTTGTCAGAACTTACAAATTTACCTTTTGATCTTTTCATGAGTTTTTACTGAGTAATTAATGCTGGTGTAATTTAATGACTGCTTTACTCATTAGCATGTTTTATAACTTAAACAGTGTTATGTTTGCAAACAATCTAACCTTCTATTTTGATCTCTGATTAAGAAAGTTACCTTTAATTTAGCCTGTCCTGTTACCCCTGAAACTTTTAGACCCATTTTATGTAATTCATCTGGAGCAAGCTTTGTGCTGAAGAAAAAAAATAAATAAATAATACAACATGTGACAACTGTCAAACTGAATACCAGTTTTACAATATGCTATGTTTCTGGTATGGCATGTATGCTATACACATTCAATTTTCGAGTTTGGTGATACTTTAATTGCCTTGAAAGGAAAAATGTATTTAAATTGAAATAATACCTTGATATATATATACAATTGGCAAAGAAAATAGAGGCACTCTAAATATTACTCAACAAAGTTGAAATAGAAGGTTTCACGACAAAAGGAATAAAATTGTCACTGAACATAACACAAAATATTATGATAAGTTCTATTAAGATTACTCACCAGTCTTTATTGCTTTTAAAGAATTTCCATAGAGTAGAGTATGTCTGAAAAGTAAAAGTTTCAGATGTACACACCTAAATCTTCAATATGTTTACGATATAAAACACATTTCCTTGATTCTTACATATATTTCAACCTAAACATGCTGAATTTCTTAAATAGACTTGTTCATCTTCCATTTTTGGAAGTGTCCATTATCAATTTTGGGAAAATCAAGAGGTATAATTTAATGTTTTCCAGCCAACAATATTGAGCCTGGTCAGATTGCACTATACTGAAAACAAAGGCTGATCACTTTGATTTCCAGCTTTGTAAGAGTTGAAATAGAGTGAATGGCATTACAACTTTTAAATCATGTAAGTGAAAATATAATAGTTATCAGAGTGAGAAAACTTCTCTCTATATCTTTATATCCTTATTTATAGTGGACTCGTGCTTACTTAACCTTGGATCAGTCCATTATCAGGTTAATGAATTTCATTATAAAAACATCAAAATCTAGCCAGATTACATAAATGTGCAGGCCTGGCTTGGCTCTATACTCTTTGCATTAGGGTAGTAAATTATCACTGCGGAAAGTTCAATTGATTTACTTACACTGTTAACTTCTGTAAGTTTGACACGCCCCCTGATCAATGAGGAAACAGACTCAAATTCTTGCTGTGTCACCTCTACAAAGTCATTAGTTGTGCTCCTTAATTGTGACGGTGATATTTCCGGGGTACCTGGTTAGTAAAATCAGTTGGGTAAGTAAAATCAGTATACTTTAAACTTAAAATCATACATTTAATATTAATGCTGTAAAAATTGAGACTGTGTATACACCTTAGTGTTAATTTCTGCTCAAATACTAAAGAGTTTCCTAGGCTAATATAAAAAGTTAAAGGTACACTTATTAAATGGTTGGCTCATGACAATAGCTCCCCTTCGTTTTCAAAAAATGGAGCTAAATATGAAAATGATACAATATAAATAAAAAGTAATATGATGGAGTTAATAAACATATTATTATTATAATTTCAAGTCAATTCGCCATCATTTAAATAATATGTCAAGCAAAATAAAAATTAATTATGCTTATAGTTAATTAAAAATTTAAAAAAAACAACACTATTTTGTTATAACAAATAAATGGTTCAAGGTACAAATATTCTCCACACTCCATTCAGACTAGTTTCCAAAACAAATTTTGATCTGCTACTAAAAAAAAGTGTCTCACTAGCTTGACATTCAGAATCTGGTTCACTTTTCTCAGGTGATTCTTGACTGTCTGCTGATGTTACTGTCATGCCTGACACATCTCCACTTTCAGTTGTTGCCATGGATACATCCTGTCCCCATGGTAACTCACTCCCTAAAAACTCCTCTAGTTTAGTAAGCTCTTCTGGTTTTTCTGTCGGCTTAAATTCAAAGATATATGACAAAATAATTTCTGGAAAAAATATACTAACTAAAAATGTGTCATCATGCCACGGATGCCCCCGCATGCAGCCAAAATTTCAGATGGTGCATTAATTTTTTTTTTCATTTTAAGTTCAAAGCCCTTAAAACTTTTCAATGTTAACACAAACCATTTTCATACAATGTTCAAGGCACTGAAATTATTCAGTCTTAACCTTTTAAAAATAGCATATTGCATATTTGTAGCCAAAATAATGGCTAAAGTATGAGTGCTGAAACTGAAAGTTCAAAATTTTTCCAACATTCAGGAAAGATAAGTTTGTCTAAAATCATTGAACCATGACCAAATTCGAACTTGGCCTGGGCATTCCAAAAACATATCCATATGTCAAATTTGAGTTGAATGTGTTGTACCATTGGGGAGATAATAAACAGAAACTGAAAATTTCATATTACTTTCAAAGTGAAAGGGGCATAACTCTGCCAAAAATCATTGAACCATGACCAAATTTAAAACATGACCTGTGCATTCCTTTCACGCATCCATATGTTAAGTTTGAGTTGAATGTGTTGTACCTTTGGGGAGATAATGAACAGAAACTGAAAATTTCATTTGTTTTCAAAGTAAAAGAGGCATAACTCTGCCAAAAATCATCGAACCCTGACCAAATTCAAACTTGACCTGTATTTTCTCATGACATATCCATATGTCAAGTTTGAGTTAAATGTGTTGTACCGTTGGGGAGATAATGAACGGAAACTGAAAATTTCATATTATTTTCAAAGTAAAAGGGGCATAACTCTGCCAAAAATCATCGAACCATGACCAAATTCGAACTTGACCTGTATTTTCTCATGACATATCCATATGTCAAGTTTGAGTTGAATGTGTTGTACCGTTTGGGAGATAATGAACGGAAACTGAAATTTCATATTATTTTCAAAGTAAAAGGGGCATAACTCTGCCAAAAATCATCGAACCATGACCAAATTCAAACTTGACCTCTATTCTCTCGTGACATATCCTTTTGTCAAATTAAAGTTGAATGTGTGAAACCGTTCTTAAGATAATGAACGGAAACTGATGATGATGGAATGACAGAATGACGGAATGACGGAAGGACAGAAGGACGGAACAGGGTAACACTATATATATATTTTCTATTTTTTATTTGGGTATGCACCTAGCTGTCATCTTCAAGATAGGAATGGTGATAGACATATTGTTTGCTATCAAATCATTATGGAAAAAAAAAATGCAATGTACACAACATTATGAAACTTAGCTCTTTTGATAAAACATTAACTGAGCGGGCCAACCAATTTCAGTGCTTCATACATGAAATTTTTTATTTCAATTGTTGAAATCTTGTATTGTTAACTCCACAATTATAATGAAAATCTCTGTACTGGATAAGACTCTGTACTGTGGAGTTAACAATACCAGATTTTAATGAAAGCCTGTTTCTCATTTTCTACTTAAACCCTTTTGTCCAAGATTTATTTGGGATAGCTCTCGTATGTTCAAAGGTAGGGATAAATATATTAGCTCACCATCATTCCTGTGCCAGTCTGTAATGTTAGTAAAAGTTGACACACATCGTTCAAATGACCTCTGAACTCTCCCAGTGCTTCCTGTAAAATCCAACCATTCAGTGAATTGATCACTTAATTAAGATAATAAACTTTTGTGTTTGTACATATACGTTAACCTTAATAAATAAACCACAATTGCAGTTTCAGAACTTCATGTGTAGACAATATATACCCAAAGAAACAGAGTGTAGGCTGATTTAAATTTTTTGTAACCATTTTAGATACAACCCTTTAGCATTGACATAAAAATCATACTGAATAACCCAACAAGAATAGGGAAAAAAGAACCTGACAAAGAAAAAATAAAATACCACTATATCCCTTTTTTTCCATTAATGTAACAGAAATAACTCTCCCATGTCCCAGACAGGCCAACTAAAACAAGATATGTTTGTAAAACATGTATGCCCCCTATCAGCAGCCAATTAGTCATGTGATAAGGTTATTATGCATGACTTCTGACCAGGTGATCATACAATTAATAAGGGTTATCAAGTATCTACTGGTCATAACCTTAACCTTTGACCCCTTGACCCAAAACTCAATAGGGGTCATCTGCTGGTCACGACCAATCATCATACAAAGTTTGAAGTTCCTAGGCCTAAGTATTTTTAGTTAATTGATCGGAAACCGTTTTAACATACAAGGTCAATGTGACCTTGACCTTTGACCCCTTGACCCCAAAATCAATAGGTTATCTGCTGGTCATGACCAATCACCATACCATGTTTGAAGTTCCTAGGCCAAAGGGTTCTTTAGGTATTGATCGGAAACCGTTTTTACCTAAGAGGTCAATGTGACCTTGACCTTTGACCCCTTGACCCCAAAATCAATAGGGGTCATCTACTGACCATGACCAATCACCATACCAAGTTTGAAGTCCTTAGGCCTAAGGGTTCTTTCGTTATTGATTAGAAACCGTTTTTACCTACAAAGTCAATGTGACCTTGACCTTTGACCCCTTAACCCCAAAATCAATAGGGGTCATCTGCTGGTCATGACCAATCACCATACAAAGTTTGAAGTTCCTAAGCCTAAGGGTTCTTTCGTTATTGATCGGAAATCGTTTTTACCTACAAGGTCAATGTGACCTTGACCTTTGACCCCTTAACCCCAAAATCAATAGGGGTCATCTGCTGGTCATGACCAATCACCATACCAAGTTTGAAGTTCCTAGGCCCTTAGGGTTCTTTTGTTATTGATCAGAAACCGTTTTTACCCAAGAAGTCAATGTGACCTTGACCTTTGACCCCAAAATCAATAGGGGTCATCTACTGATCATGACCAATCACCATACCAAGTTTGAAGTTCCTAGGCCTTAAACTTCTTTAGTTATTGATCGGAAACCGTTATTGCTTACAAGGTCAATGTGACCTTGACCTTTGACCCCTTGACCCCAAAATCAATAGGGATCATCTACTGATCATGACCAATCACCATACCAAGTTTGAAGTTCCTAGGCCTTAAGGTTCTTTAGTTATTGATCGGAAACCGTTTTTGCTTAGAAGGTCAATGTGACCTTGACCTTTGACCCCTTGTCCCCAAAATCAATAGGGGTCATCTACTGATCATGACCAATCACCATACCAAGTTTGAAGTTCCTAGGCCTTAAGGTTCTTTAGTTATTGATCGGAAACCGTTTTTGCTTACAAGGTCAATGTGACCTTGACCTTTGACCCCTTGACCCCAAAATCAATAGGGGTCATCTACTGATCATGACCAATCACCATACCAAGTTTGAAGTTCCTAGGCCTTAAGGTTCTTTAGTTATTGATCGGAAACCGTTTTTGCTTACAAGGTCAATGTGACCTTGACCTTTGACCCCTTGACCCCAAAATCAATAGGGGTCATCTACTGATCATGACCAATCACCATACCAAATTTGAAGTTCCTAGGTCTTAAGGTTCTTTAGTTATTGATCGGAAACCGTTTTTGCTTACAAGGTCAATGTGACCTTGACCTTTGACCCCTTGACCCCAAAATCAATAGGGGTCATCTACTGGTCATGACCAATCACCATACCAAGTTTGAAGTTCCTAGGCCTAAGGGTTCTTTAGTTATCACTCGGAAACCATTTGGTCTACGGACCGACGGACCGACGGACCAACGGACCGACGGACCGACGGACCGACAAGTGCAAAGCAATATACCCCCTTTTCTTCGAAATGGGGGCATAATTACTAATCAGTCTTTTAGACGAGACTTTAAAATGAGGTCTTGGCATGCTAAAAAACCAGTAGAAGCTTCTGGAATTGGGACATTTTCTTACACTATCCTCCAAAATCTAAAATGACTAATACTCTTCTGCAAGGGGCAGGACGTGAAGTGGTTGCACACTTGGTTCAAGCGAGCGAATTGGTTGCAAACTTGACAAAATGGTAAACACGGCGTGATTTTTTGAAACGAGTGAACGAATTTTTGCCAGGCAAGTGGGTTTCTTTGTTATTTTGAAGTTCATTAGTATGTCTATTCCATAATGCAATATATATGCCACACTCGGTTAAAGGTGTCAGCATCCTAGATTCTGTTTTGACGAAGTTATTGAAGATATAAACTGATCATGTAGATATTTTTAAATTTGACATGTGACTGTTCTGGTCGGTTCTTCTCCTAATTTATTCGCATTCGTAAGTTTCGAACTGCATTTAACAATAACAAAATATGTTACTGACAAAGCTGTACAAATGGTTTGGTTTGCAAGTCCAAAGATAACGTTCAATACACAAAAATATCTTGTTCAAGCACATTTTGGTTGCAGACTTATACTTCAAGCATTTTTGGTTGCAAACTTATTCTTATTCTATTGAATTCCATAATAAATCTTTGCAAAAGGAGTGTAGAAGGTTATATTTATTAACCTTTTTTCAATGACAATTATTGACATTTATGTACTGTTACTTGTTTTTGTCATAAATGTTATTTATACTTTCTTCTTTTACAACAATTATGCAATTTATGTTTCAAATTACATGGTTCTCAGTTCAATACTATAATCATCAGTAAAAGAATAGCATATAGAAAAATATTTATTGATACTTCAATTCTAAAATATGTCATCATATGTAAAATGCAAATGAAAACTACATACAAAACAAACGTATGTGAGAGTACTGTTGTATGTAAGTGAATTAATTTCATCATAAACATGAGGACATGTGCACACATACGATGTTACTCGGTAAAATTTCCAAAGTTTATCAAAACCACACGAAATGTTAATTTGTTTGTTTCGTATGTAAAGATCAGCAGTTGCTTTAGACATAAAGTATGTAAATGTACTTAAAATATTTTTACAAACCAAAAGTTAAAATGACATGTTTGTTTACGAATTTGATGTACATCATATGTTAATTGGTATTCTAAAGATGATTTTGATTATTAGATCATAATATAAATGATATACAATTGGTTATTTACATTGACTGATACCTGACAAAACTACTTGAAGTCATTGTTCGAGTTAGGGAATTTGGAAGATGTTTCGATTGGTCAATAATAAGGAACAATTTAAAGAAACATGTGAATAATGCCCTTGTGTCAATGTTAATATAGTTTTTATCTACTATACAATGAAATTTATTTCAAATCTCAAAAAAGAACAATAATGAAAGCTGTTTGTTGCTATTTTTTCTTCTTTTCCTTTACAGTAAGTCATGCCAAGATATAAAAAAAGTCCCAAGACTTTGTAAAAAGAAAAGAAGTATATCGAGGAGAAAAAATGATGTAGATAAACACAACTGAACTTCAGTTTAGCATATTGTGTTTATATCTATTTAAAAGACCCTGTGTTAGGATATATCTGCACGCATGCACAATTTGTATATATATTTCTTATTAGATGAACGGGTATAATTGTCTTAATATTGCTAATTATTTAAAAAAAATGATTAGTTATTCCTCGCTAAAATATGCATGCCACATTATTGACACAAAAGTTTGCAACCCAAAAGGCTTGAAGTATAAGTCTGCAACCAAAATGTGCTTGAACAAGATATTTTTGTGAATTGAACGTTATCTTCGGACTCGCGAACTAAACCATTTGTACAGCATTGACAGAAACATATTTTGTTATTGTTAAATGCAGTTCAAAACTTACAAATTCGAATACATTAGGAGAAGAACCGACCAGAACAGTCACATGTCAAATTTAAAAATATCTACATGATCAGTTTATATCTTCAATAACTTCGTCAAAACAGAATCTAGGATGCTGAAACCTTTAACCGAGTGTGGCATATATATTGCATTATGGAATAGACATACTAATGAACTTCAAAATAACAAAGAAACCCACTTGCCTGGCAAAAATTCGTTCACCCGTTTCAAAAAATCACGCCGTATTTACCATTTTGTCAAGTTTGCAACCAATTCGCTCGCTTGAACCAAGTGTGCAACCACTTCACGTCCTGCCCCTTGCTTCTGAGAGGGTTTCGCCCATAAGGGCAACCGGTGGCAAGTATAAACTCAAATACACAAACATACCTTTTGAGACTCTTGTATAGCTTCAACCTGCTGTACCAAAGATGAGTACTCTTTTTTCACATCACTTATCTTACTGAGTAATTCTGCAGGATTCGTCTGAAATGTAGTATAATACTTTTACAAAAAACTTAGAACAAAGAAGGAATCTTATTACTACCCAATAACCATTCAGTTTGCTTTTTCATCCAGTAATCAAATGGCTCTTGTCTACAGGATATTTTATCATATTAACCATTATGGTGACTATCTACATGGTGTAGCTTTACTGGTGGCGGAATATTACTTGCATACATAACCATAACCAGCAAAGGGGTTTTACAGTATAGAGTTTCATTGTTTTGTCAGGTAACCTTCATTATAATCCTGTTAACACTCACATGTATTTTTTTTTAATGTGGCTTAGGTCGCACCAACACCGTATAGTTCATATGGCGACTATCCAGCTTTACTGGTGGAGGAAAATCTCAGCTGCTCCTCTGCCTGTTTTCAGGCACAAGCAGACACCGGAGTAGAACCATTGAACCATGAAACAATCCGAAGGAGCAGGTTGAACCCACAGCGGTGAGAGGCAAGTGTTTTTTTTACAAAGATTCAAGTAAATGGTGATAAATGAATTTGTATAAACCAGAATTTTGCCAATGTTAACACTAAATGTAGGTTCAATAGAATAGCCACTAAATGTTTTAGAAACATCAAGCTTAAAATACTTAAATTATTCATACTAAACAATATTTATACAGTAAACTCCGCTTATAACGAACTCATTGGGACATTCAAAATCTGTTCCTTATATCCGGAGTTCCTTGTAAGCATATAGCGAATTAGTTCCTTGTATCAGGAGTTTTTATAGCGAACAGATTTACATATAACGAACTGATTGTTAAACATCGTCCGCCATTTTTAAGAGCATTTGATTAAGAATAGTCATTTATTTCTTTTTTAGACACAATACCCGAGAGCGTACATTTTGGAATTTGAAAATCCTTTGCTATTTCAGTTTTAGTTTTACTCCCTTTCTCAATTTTTCATAAAACATCATATTTTATTTCTTAACTCAGTGCTTTTCGTTTTCTTTCAATGAATAAGAGTAAATACGATTTTCCATTTTTCTTCCTTTTATATTGATTCAGAATATCTTCTATTAAATTTTAAGGGTGACTTTAACTAATGAAATATATAGATTTCTTTTCATTTCCATCAAGCATACTTTGAAGTTTTCTATCGATTATGTTTGCAAGCATGTGTGATTATGTTGAAAACAGATAATTATTTTACTCGAGCAAAACTATTAAAGAAAAGAAATTATAGAATAAAAAGAATTACTGTTTTATCTTTGTGACAAGAACTCAAGCTAAAACTAGAAATGTGTCCATAGGACACGGATGCCCCCACACGCCACTGTTCTGTCAATCTTATGACTCTTGGTCAAATATTTTTTGGACTACATGTGCCACAAGTTGAAAACTAAAAATCGACAAAGGGCCATAATTCTGTTAAATTTGGTCGCAGCGAAAATTCCTTCCTTTACTACCATCTACACATTAAGGTTGTTAATCCCTGGAAGTTTAAGCAAAATCTGCCATCCGGTTTAAGAGGAGTTGCGTTCACAAAATTTCTACATAGTATATAATGAAAAAAAAAAACAAAGGACCATAATTCTGTTAAATTTGGTTGCAGCAAAAATTCCTTCCTTTACTGCCATCTACACATTAAGGTTGTTCATCCCTGGAAGTTTAAGCAAAATCTGCCATCTGGTTTAAGAGGAGTTGCATTCACAAAATTTCTACATAGTATATAGTGAAAAAATCAACAAAGGGCCATAATTCTGTAAAATTTGGTCGCAGCAAAAATTCCTATCTTTACTACCATCTACACATTAAGGTTGTTCATCCCTGTAAGTTTAAGCAAAATCTGCCATCCGGTTTAAGAGGAGTTGCGTTCACAAAATTTCTACATAGTATCTAGTGAAAAAATCAACAAAGGGCCATAATTCTCTTAAATTTGGTCGCAGCAAAAATTCCTTCCTTTACTACCATCTACACATTAAGGTTGTTCATCCCTGTAAGTTTAAGCAAAATCTGCCATCCGGTTTAAGAGGAGTTGCGTTCACAAGATTTCGGGACGGACGGACTGACGGACGGACAAGTGCAACGCTATATGCTCCCACATTGTGGGGGCATAAAAATCCTAAATAGAAAACTATTACATTCTTCTATACAAATTCATTTTCATATATTGAATTACATACAACAATAAACGGTACATTCCGCGAGTTTTATTCCGTGCCAATGAAAACGAAAGTTGAAAATGCGGGATATATTGACGAATAGCCGATATTTGGAGTTCGTTATAAAAGTGTAATTTTATGCACTTTTAACTAAATTGGGACTAAGAAATAAGTTCCTTATAAGCGATAATTCCTTATAACCGTGTTCGCTATAACCGTATATTTTTATATTAAATAAAGAAGGGCAAAATTTCGGGCCAATAAATTGTTCCTTATAACCGGAAGTTCGCTATAACCGTGTTCGCTATAAGTGAAGTTTACTGTATACATACAGGGCTCCAGATAAGATGCGTATACGCGTAAATTACGCATGGAAATAACACGTTTACGCATTCAAAACAAAATTTAAGCGTATGAAAACGCACACAAAATTCAGGTTACGCATTGAGCAACATTTCTTTCGCGTAAACGTAACCGAAAGTAAACTCGGTGATTATTTCGTCTGAACGCTTTAACTTCCTGTAGTTCCGACAATCATCGGTTGTTATCGTATGTATAGTATGGTGGTGGAATCAACTTCGTAACTATGAATGCTTTGCAATGTCTTACCGTAACTTCCTGTAGTTCCGACTATCATCGGTAATTATCGTACATGTATAGTAAGGTGGTGGAATTAACACAATTTCATAAACATCCGGTACAATGTCGCTGTCAAATTGACTCGTATTTTAAGCCGAAAAAAAATCGACCGGAAAGTAATTGTGAAGGTTATAATTAATGAAATAGTTAGCGCTGCCACGTATGAGCAACAAAAACATTCTACAGGTTCAGATAAAACGTATGCTGTTTGGAAATGCAAGATTATAAGAAATGACTTTGACATATCTTTTATTACAAGTATAATAATACAATAAACATGGAAGCATATTAAATGTTTTACTCTTTTACAAACATTTTAAGGAGTAAAAATACTCCTGCCAAATTTCAGATTTCAAGTTTTACTCATTCACAAAAAAATCAATGAGTAAATACTCAATGCCCTAAAAAATTATCTGGAGCCCTGTACAAATAAAACAAAGATTAACTGATCAAGGCAATACTAATCAATTTATTTAATCAATCTTTCATTAACCTACTCTGAATTAGTATATGTTGACAATCTTTTAAAAATAACTTTATTTTCTGGAAAAAAAATATCAGTATGAGATCAGTATCAATACCATTTACCTGTTGCAAATCTTCATTATTCTCAAATTCAAACTTCAGCCTTTGTGACAGGCTGTTAACGTCAGAATCTGCCTTTTGGAACTGAAATTAAATTATTTCTCATTGAAACTCTACATAAAATATCACCTTTTCATGCCTTTTTCCAAGTGTCACCGCAGGTCAGACCATCAGACCCATTCCCAATGGCAAATTTGCTTATTTTTTTGCATACATTTCATCCAGTTTTCAGAGAAAACTTCAAAGTGTAATGTTCAGTGTCAGAAAATTGTCAAAATATACATGTATATATCCAGAAACAGGATATTAAATCCAAATATATAGAATAAAAATACTGGCACAATAATCTTAAGCAAAATGAAGTTGTTGGACACATTTCTGTTAAAAATTTTACATTACAATATAACTTTTATGAACTTCAAATATTTTGTTTCCAGAAAATGGGGAAAATGGGAAATAATTCTAAGAAAATAAAAGGCTATTAAAATCTTTTTATTTTGATTTGTTTCAAAATATTTTGTTATAATGCTTAATAAACAAAACAAGTAAGAATGAAACATTTTAATTATGTAGATAAGGTTAAATTGAGCCAAGTTCTCTTTTTATAATAAATACGGTAATTTCCTTAAAGGCCAGACCAAATCTATTGTGGTGTTATGTGTTGACTGTTCATGTTTGTCTTTTGTCCTTTTGTTATGGGTGATTAAACTGGTTTTGCAAGTTGAGTAATGAATGATTGATTTTGGTATGCAAGTTATTTTTAGATGATTTGGTTCTGGGATAGCTAACATTTTTTCCAAATCCATCCGGTACCGGCCCCATTCCCAAAGCAGGGGAGAAAACACTGGTAACATGAACAATATTCACCATTGTTTTCATACTATAGCTTGATTTGTAACTGATTGGATTATCTTGAACCATCCCATGGGGAACATTTTACAGTTAAGACCTTTTCACAAATTAAGGGAGAAAATTTGAATGATGCATGATAGCTCTCCGTTGATAGAACCATGGTATGGTATTTTAAGCATCCAGAGTTCAAGTGCTGTACATTTTGACAGACTTTGCCATATCAGTCCTACGCATAAACCCTTCCAGCCTGCTGAATCTCAGTAAGGGCTTATCAGCTAGTAAATCACTATTAACTGTATATCTCCCATTAACACGTCCACCGAGTTGAGAGTCTTGTCGTCACTAATTGGTCTTCTGTATTTTTATCTAATGGCCCTAACGTTGAGGGATCAAATTTCTTTAGATGTAGTTTTTCACAAGATAAACTCACTTTTTTATCCATGTTTTTTTCTGTATTGGTCTATTAGGGCCCGTCTACACCTATCCAAGTCTTGAATGCAAGTATCATATTCTCTTGTATTGGATAATGTAGACACCCTACTTGAATGAGTTTTAAAGAGAAATTATGTGACATCCAAGAAGATAATTCCTTGCAAGAAAGTTAGAACACGTTCTATTTTTCTACAAGTTTTTGGCTGTCAAGACACTGATAACACCAGTTTGACACAAAACATGTGCCCCGAAGGTTTGATAGTGCTGTTATTTTTATTATTTTCTGACTTTTTGTTGTTGATTCAGTGTACATGCCCTTTGAATTTCAGTAAATGATGACATTTGTCTCGGTCAAAGGAACAAATCAATAAGCTGATACACAGAAGAGCAAAAAAAAAAAAAAATAAATAAATACATTGTAAAAAAAATAAAAAAGAGCTCTTTTTTATGGATTTAAAATGATCTTGTTCATTTAGTGAATAACTTTCATCAAATAAAGAATTTGCATCAAAATAAATTTTTGTCACATTTTTTTCAGTTTTAAAAAAGAATGAACGCATTTCATTTACTCCATTCTGTTTTAGCTAATTGCATCATTTTCCCGCTTTTTTCACATAATTTACAGAAACATGATAGTCTTGCAAAGACAAAGGTATAAATCATGGGCTATCTTAATGAGACATTTCAGTAAAAATTGTGCCTTAAAAAATGTTGAAAGGGCCATTTATTTAGCTTATCTAAATGTGACATGTAAGAAACTTGAAAAGGTGTAGACATGGCCTTAGGCCCAATTGAATTGTAAAATTTATCAATTATTTGTAATCACAAGATAACTGTTAGCTATTAAATGTTAAATATTTTATGTTGTTACATATCTTTATAAGTAATAATCATCATATTAATAAAATTTAATAAAGTTCCATAGTTAATTGTCACTGTTACTCACGTTACTGAATACAACCACCAACCCCCACACCCCCTCAACCCCCCAAACAAACACTGTTTACAGATATATGTTTTTACCGTAAAGTCTTAATTAAATGACCAGGTAAGTGATATTTTCATTATTAGCTAGACTATATTAAGTATATGGAGAGGTGTCCTACTCGCTTCGGTTTCTAAGTCGGCGTCAGCATCCATACTTTAAATGAATGTTTATATGCAGTTACTATTTTACCTGTATTTTTTTTATTTCTTAAGGTATCAATTTCAAACATATATTCCTTATCATCATCCACATCATGTGATAAGGTGCAAAATCTTAAACTAGTATTTCCAGAATTATATCCCCTTGAACCTATAATTTTGCTTAAAATAATATTTTTTACTCTAACGTCTTTATTTCAAATTAAGGACTTCAAACATGTATTTCTTATCATCAACTACATCATATGTGACAATGTTTATAACTCTAGCACCAATTTTTCCAGAATTATCGCATGAACATACATTTTTTTCCTCAAAAATTATTTTTTTTTACTTACTTCTTTATTACTTAAGGTATCTACCTCTAACTTCAAATATATGTTCCTTATCATGTGTGACAAGATTCATAACTCTAGCATGAATATTTCCAGAATTATTTCCCCTTGAACTTGATTTTGTTTACAAAAACTGATATTTTTTGCTCTAACTTCTCTATTTATGAAAGAATTTACTTCTAACTTTAAACAATAACATAACAAGCTTCATAACTCTAGCATCAGTATCTTCAGAATCATCCCTTTATACTATTTAATTCAGATTTCAAAAAATTCTATATACCGATACAGAAATATATCTGTATCTTATCATAACTGATTTTTGTCACAGTTTGTTTTTCCTTTCCTGTGTCCAGCATTTAAATAGTCCAGCATGCTGTTTGTCCAGTTATGGTTTCCTTAAAATAACTTAAAGGTCATCAAATTTATCTTTCTTTTCTGTTCTTTGGCAATTGGTATATAGTTTAAGCGATTTTGTATTGAAGTTAAAATACTTCTTTGTTTATATTTTTCTACCTTTTATACATTTCTTTTTTGTACCAAATTGAATGATAAGCATAAACAATGCTTTTAATCCATTAATATATTACTAAACATTATTTTGCCTCCTCTCAAAAAGGAAAATAATATAAATCACTGAGACATAATATGCCTTTAATGTGAAATTAATTTACACAAGTATTTTTATTGTGAGTTGTAAGTGATTAAAAACTTTTTTAAATGTAATCCAATCTTTTTTGTCTTTAACTCTTATAAAAAAATGTAGCTTATGAAAATCTTAAAGGCCTTAATAAGTTTTCCTTAATTCTAAAATGTTCTCTATATCGGATACATTCTTGAAACATGATAGGTTCATAAAACATTCAAGGGTGCTGCTATTAGTGATACTGTGACAAGCCATGTAATTATGATTAAATGCTCATCACTGGTCAGAGATAGGAAATTTTGGGGGAAAACTGGAAATCTTGGGTTTATGCGTAGGACTGATATAAATATATAAAATACAGGGAAGTCAAAGTCTTGGACCGCAGGCTTTGGCTTGCCTGGCTTAAAACTACACATGTATTTTTAAAAGAAAATCAAATATAAAAAAGATTTGAGAATATATAGAATTTTATACCTATTAATGAAATTTTCAGTGTCAGTTCTAGTTGGGTGCTGCCATTTTCAATGTAACTTAATGATAATAGGTAGGATATTCCGATAACGAACAATCACAACTTTTTGGATTTATAACAATTGTTGAGTATTCAGAGTGAAAACTGAAGCAGTGCATGAAATACTAATTGACACCTTAAAAAACGGAAAAATGAATTATTTTTTAACCAACTGCCCCGTTCATAGGCTTTGCCTAATTTCATATTATCAGCTTTGTTTTAGACACATTTACTTTCCTGTACTGGTTGGAGTGATAACTTCGACACTAAATCACTATTTTTTTTAAATAACTTTTTTATTTTTGTGTATATTTTAAATTTTTACCCACCTAAACAAAGTTCGGTTCAAACATTTATAATCATATGCAAATTTCCTTTATTGAAATGGAAACTGGTACTTTCTTAAGGTCCTGAATAAGGTATCCGAAACATGGTCTTTTTAACCCTAGACAGTAGATAAAGTCAACACTTTAATTTTTAAGAAAATACTAGCTTGAAAATTAGAATAAATCAGTCATTTTTACATTTTATATGCTTTATCTATGCCTTATTGATAATTTAACAATTTTTTAAAGAAATTTTCCCATGTCAGTAGCTTGTGTTCAAGTCAATTCTAACTACTGCCTGGAAGTTAAGTAAACAGAACATTTTGTGGCCGTTTTTGTAACAAAAATTATGGTCAACATAAACACATTTAAAAGTTTACAAAATATAAAAATCTCCTCACAGTCTGTGCTTCTCCTTTATTACTAGGTGACCATGTGCTTGTTTGTTGACAAAAAAAGATAAATAAAATTTTTTAACTAAGTGTCGGGGTTATCTATGCGTCGGAGTTATCTCTCCAACCAGTATTTAAAAATGTCCAATTAAAATTATAGTATTATGACATTTTAATTGATAGGTGAATTTAGTTTTATTTATAGAAATAATGAGAGATGTAGATAATAGATGTTATCTAGTATGTCTCTGGAATAATATATACGTATAATAATATATGTATTATCTACACATATTTATCCGAATACAGGGTTTGTCCGAGAATGTGCAACTTACTAAAACATTCACTATATTCAATTAAAAAAATTTTTGTAAGTATTTGAATATTTTTACCATGGCCTCTACTCGTTCAGCTGCTTTCTGCATTTTGTTTGTTCTTCAGATCGACGCACGAAAATGAAAACTTTAACAAAAGTTTAAATTTATATTTTTATTTTTTTTTAATTTCAACTGGTAGGGGAGATAATAAGGTTTTTTGTGAAGGGACCCAAAGGTTCTTTAATTACCAGCAAGGCATCGAAAGATACAGCCAAAATTATGTACTATACTGTATTCATGGTAAGTTAGGCAAATTGAAAATATATTCTGTTTATCAAATGGATATCTATTATTTGTTAAATATCAAAATTATCGTTTATATAATTTTTGAGTTTTAAACGAATGATTATTGTAAAAAAAAATATAGGTAAAAAATAACAAAATAAACATGTTAACTCATATACTGGTGCCTCATATTTCCGTGGTACTTAACTGTTTAACACAGACTAAAAAGTTAGGAGAATAAAATTCTTGAAAATTTGTTGAATAATGTAGGAAAGACAGTTTATTCATTTTAATGTTTGCATGGAAGCAATAATGTGCACAACATGGCAATTAACACCCATCTGCTGCCTAGTGAGTAAAGTTGTGTTCTCATATTTCATTTATACAGCTTCAAAAGCAAAACCAGCAGTAATCTTTATATTTTAGTACATCTATACCTAAGCTTGTCTAAAAGTGGGCATTTTCTCTATGGCATTTATCAAATATTTCAATGGTTGCTTAACAAAGACAATTGTCTTTAAAGGTATGAAAACTAAAAGTAAAATGGTGAAATCATTTACTTTGCTCTTAATCTGAATAAAATAATAAGTTTTCTCAGTTGTGTATTGTAGCATTCCGATAAAAATACAATAAGAAAGTGAAAGTAAAACTCCTGACAGGTGCATGAAGTCTATGAGGCACTTGAGACTGAGTATGCCTATTACCTTGGAAATATGGGTACCACGGACATATGAGGCACCAGTATATATAAAGAGGATATTTAAGTTTTTATATAAATACAGGATTTATTTTCATCGCATTGTCTGAAAATATTTTCTTTTATGAGTGGCTGTTGCTCAGTGGGAAATATGATAATTTTCATTTTACAAGATGAAAATAAATCCTGTAGGCTATATTCATAGGGGGAAAACTTTTTCTGTTAACTATATACATGTCTCTCTCTCTCTCTCTCTTTTATTTGACATTACAATTTGAGAGACTTCCCCTTAAATTTTAAGCATTGGATGAATTTAGAAGAAAGTAGTCCGGCAAAACACCAGTTAAAATACGGACAAAATTTCACTACAATGAAAAATAAATTTCAACAGTGTTAATTCGGAAAATACAAATACGCATTTTATTTCATCAATTTTCTCAATATCTCATTTATTAATATATAGTAATTATTTTACAGTTCCTGCTCATACATGTTTATATAAAAAGACTCCGTCTATGATGAAAAATTATGAGTCTGATTATAAAATTCATTTAGTATTTTATAGATGATGCACCATTTCCTATTCCATCCGCCCTTTCAGGCACTAAGAGTACGGACCCGGGCATGTCACCAGTCATGTCTTTAATTTAAGTATGTTTAAATCGAAAGTGGTGACCTTTTTCATTGAAATTCAGTAATTCACTGAATGAGCCCAAATAAAATGCAAATGATTTATATATTATTTATGAAATAATGCACGGGAGGCCAATGAGACCATTATGTACATTATGCTTAGATTGTAAATGTGTTGCTGCCTAAAATAAAGGATCAAGAAGCGGCCGTGTAAGGTTTACTGACATAGGCCATACGGACACACGGACAAGAAATGGTGCTTCGGACAGGTTATATCGGTTTGGTGCCTCAGACATGCATCAGACATGCATTGTGTGGACCATGGACTGCTTCCCTCATCTGGTGAATCTTGAAGAGCTCCTCCTCATTTCGGTCTTCAAAGATAATTGTGGACATGTTTTAGCTTTGAAATATTCTTTTATTAATGTAGCTATAAAAATATATAAATACTTTGGACTGAGCAATGCCACACAAGCGAGTATATTAGATATAAAATACTAGTACATGGAAAAGCGAAATCCCTGTAATGCGCAACATCTCTCAAACCCCTAGCACTGGTTTCAGTAAGATTCAGTCAACAGAAAAACTTTAGGTTCTAAGGACAAGGAAAATATAACGGCACTGAGAAATAGTACTACAGTGTACAAGTAGCACTTGATAAATTTATCTAAGGTGGGTCGATTGCATAATTCTAGTTTAGATTTAAACCTAAAAAATAGAGATAATCACTAAAGAGTGACAAAAACCGCAAAATTCAAAATATTTAAGACTCGGTTTGATTGATCCTGTTCATGGACGGTATGGTATGCACAAGCTACCGTCCACGTCCCCTAGCACTGGTTTAAGCAGATCTTGAATTGATTTCATATACGTAAAAGTAGTCTGATTAGTCTACAACAACAAAAAATTGAAAATTAAGATCAACAAGTCGACGATCACAGAACTCCCGATACAGCCCGATTTCACCAGCACCATATAATTGTATTGTTTTCAGTGCCTCTTCCGTTTCCAGATTTTTAAACGGGGATGTAGTTTAGGCTAAATCCAAAACTAAACCAAAATAAGTTAAAGTCGAAAACATTGCAATTATTAAATCAACCTAAGAATGAATTAAGGTTGAGTTTAGGCATAAAACAAGAGATTACAGGAGTTCTCTTGCTCAGTATCCCCATTTTGTCAACGAGCTTTACTCTTTGTGATGTACGTGAGTGGTCCTTTGATAACAAGTTCCCTACCGTCAGTGGTTGAAGCATGCATTACTCAGCATACTTTCAATTATACGCCTGTCTCGAAACATTCAGCTGTTAATATTTGTATTTACTGACTGTTTAATTTCTATAAATGATGTCCTACATGCATAATTTATAATATCTATGCCTATAAAGTAAGCTGTGTTTGGCATACAGAAAAACTATGTCTGCAACCGAATAATTCTTTGACAAATAAATTTGTATTTGGTCGTTCATTTCTATATTAAGCTGTTGAATGTCATTTATGGAAATACACATTAAAAGCACAGTGACAAAACTTGAGCAACATCCCTCGTATTAATGCCAGATCCCCTCACTTAACTATGGAGTATGTTTTAGGATACGTCGTTCTATCTTAATGGCTCACACCACTTTTAGCCGTGACTAACTAAACATTAGACCACGTGATTATACACCCTGTTAAAGCACAAAAGAAATAACTACTGGTTACATTTCTTCAACGCACATAAATGGTAAAATGTAATTATTTGTGAGGAATATTTGATAGGAGATGAAGAATTAGTTAAGAACAAACAGTGACCTTAATGAGGGTAATATGGGATTCTAATATTTTAACTTTTAGAACGTTTTATTGGACTATATGCAAGTCTAAAATTGTGAAAATGTATTGGTCTTAATGAAATATTTTTTTTGACAGTGTACTAGCTCTTGCATTGTTGTAACTCTGCAGGAACATGTTTTATGTTATATAGGTCAATAGAGGAAAGGAAATAAGCAAATATAAAAAAGTAGAAAATTTTAAATATTCACGAGCAAACAAAACAACAACAAAAAAATAAAGACACAAACATAACAACAATAAAAAATTCTTAGATAAAATTTTAGAAAAAATCGCTATTGAGTGAATTTTGTTTATATTCATAAAAAAACCCGTTATACAACACGTGCAGACGACTTCAAAGGTCATCAATGAATTAAATCAACATAAAACCGAGTACAGGTATATATGTGATACTAGTCAAGTTGTTTCATTATCTTTATATACTACAATTTACTGATAACAATATCGTGACAGTATATGTTGGGAGAACTTTCAAACATATCAAGGTGCAACAGTTTCTCATTTTAATTATCAATTCAATCTACATTTACTCAGTGCTGATATCTCTGTTTATTAGATAGTACGCGTTACAGGTGTCGGAATTCTATCTTTTATTAACTACAAAGTAAGTAATTTCAAATACCACTGTGTATATCTAACGGTGTAAGCCATTTATGTGAGTTTTAAGTTGGTACATGAGTTTGAAGCATCTTACTGTAGTCTGGGACCTACGATACTGTAACGTCATTCAAAGTCCCAGCTGGAAAAAAAAAATTAGATTTTTTGAAATTCTACTTGCTTTTTTCTTAAGCTTTTGTAGGCATAATGACAACTGTATCTCAGTGATCACGGATTACATATTATGTAATATAAATCCGTGCAGTGATTTACCGTTTTATCATATAAATTCGAGGAGATTGTTTTATCTATATTAATTACCCAAAAGATAAGACTTAGCGTCTGCAACTTGAGAAAACGCCCCCTTTGGAAACCAAGCGCTTGAAAGATCCAGATCGAAGATTTTCTGTCTTCACAATTGAAGAGTAAACAACGGAAGTAGATGGCTCGGAATAATTTTAGAAATCAACAAATATCCAATATTTTGATGTATTTATCTAATTAGATTTTGCCAAGATGGCAGATTCAGACGATTTTGGGCCCATGGAGTCTGCAGGTATGAAAACATGTTATGTCTGCTGGCAAAGTATGCAGAAAAGCTCAAAATGTTTGATGAATTTGTAACTCGAATAATCCAATCCAATTTCCATAAGACTAATAAGTTTAGAAGGCTAGGAATTCCTATGTTTACTTCTTAGAAAATGTATATTAGAGAAGGTTTATGAAAAATGCACACGCGATAGTCATAAATCTGTAAGCACTTAGGATGTGTTTTAAGCCAAGTCAAAGGAATGATTTGTTAATGTTATAAGATATGCAAGATCATGCACAATATTTCAGCAAAGACACTCAGACTCAGCCTTTGTTTATTCTCTATGGTAAGCTTGAACATTTTAACAAAAGTGTGTCATCTGTTTCAGTCATAAACTTGGTTAAATTCAAGTTCCATGTAAATTAAAAACAACAATTTTAGAGATAAAAAACAACACCCATTTAGTATTTACCATCAAGTCTTAAGTATGTGTGTCATGGCTCAGAAAGTGAAACAATGGCAACGTAAAGACAGAATCTCTACTTATGTTGGTTGGACAAGAATGGTTTTCTGACTAGGACTCGGCAATCTTTGCTTTATTGAGACTTGATAGTAACACGGACTTTAATTGACAACTGTTGATCAAAGATATAAAATTATCACCTCGTGTTATATCTGGTAATTACATGTACTGTACAGCGCGTGTATACATTAGTCTGATCACTATTGCGTGATAATGATCGTAAGCGTTATCGCTGATTGGCTTATCGCTTCACGGGTCGATGTGCATAGGACCGCCTACCTATAGACTGACACGTGCTGACGCATTTGTGTATTTGTGGTTGTAAACAATCGGTAATGTTTATGCGTCCCCAGGCAAAATTAAGCGTATGTGGAATCCTTGCTCTGAAATATTTGCGTCCAGCTGTAATAAACATGCGTACCGGGACGCCGAAATAAGCGTCCCCGAGAACCCTGCATTGTGATAAAATGTTAAAAAGTTTTTATTACAGTTAACAGGAATAGACCAAACTGGGGGCTGGGTCTTACTCCCAATTGTCTGTGTATTATGTACAGGTCATGTTCAATATAATCATCAGGTGACATATAATGCACTCGGGTACTTGATTCACTACCATTTTCTTGTATGCTTCAATAGTGTTTTGTTAGATGTCCTTTAGACAAGAACAAAGTAGGATCCTGCTTAGATCATTAAACTTGTCTGACAATTTTACAGAAATTATCATTTTTTTCAATCTTTTGGTCTGCTACTGAGATTTAATTCTGATGAGAAATTAATTTGGTGGGTGTAAACTGTATCCTAAGTCCCGTCCTTATAAAGCCTTCATAAATTTGTACAGTGCCCAACTACGGATCTCTGCTAATTTTATTCATATCTTAATATTGTAAAATTGTAAATGTTGTGGCTGCTGTCATAGTCATGTAGAATACTTGGAAACTATACATGCTGTCATAGAAATGAAGTTGAGCCCTTTTAAAATGGTGAAACTTTCAGATCCTCTGAGGGTTTTGCCTTTTAGTCGGCCACAAGCTTTGCCCACATTCCTTTTTTTCCTGGATCATTATAACCCACTTGCATGATACAGAGTAAGACTATTAAAATTCTGGAAGGTAGTCTAGATTTTAGAAATTGGATAAATTCAACAGAGTTATCCAATTTCCTGGAAGAATTTTTTCCCCAGTAAAGAATTATGGTTGTTGTAGGAGAAATTGTCAAAAATGTATCTGTTATGTACAAAAAGAAAATTAATCAGAAAAATTTAAAATGAGTATTTACATGTATCCTTTGAAATTGCCTACCTGCAATGTACATGTTTACTTATTTTCATGTAATTTTAGCTTCATATTTTTAGGGCATTATAAGATTCCATTATTTCGTGGTAAAAAGAAAACTAGAAATGTGTCATCATGCCACGGATGCCCCCGTATGCAACCAAAATTTCAGATGGTGCATTAATTATTTTTTTCATTTTAAGTTCAAAGCCCTTAAAACTTTTCAATGTTAACACAAACCAGTTTCATACAATGTTCAAGGCACTGAAATTATTCAGTCTTAACCTTTTAAAAATAGCATATTGCATATTTGTAGCCAAAATATTGGCTAAAAGTATGAGTGCTGAAACTGAAAGTTCAAAATTTTTCCAACATTCAGGAAAGATAAGTTTGTCTAAAATCATTGAACCACGACCAAATTCAAACTTAAACTGCTTATTCCTAAGATGTATCTATATTATTTTCAAAGTGAAAGGGACATAACTCTGCCAAAAAATCATCGAACCATGACCAAATTCCAACTTGACCTGCCCATTCCTTTGACATATCATTATGTCAAATTTAAGTTGAATATGAAACACTGTTGGGTAGATAATGAACAGAAACTGTAAATTTCATATTATTTTCAAAGTGAAAGGGGCATTACTCTGCCAAAAATCATTGAACCATGACCAAATTCGAACTTGGCCTGGGCATTCCAAAAACATATCCATATGTCAAATTTGAGTTGAATGTGTTGTACCATTGGGGAGATAATAAACGGAAACTGAAAATTTCATATTACTTTCAAAGTGAAAGGGGCATAACTCTGCCAAAAATCATTGAACCATGACCAAATTTAAACTTGACCTGCGCATTCCTTTGACGCATCCATATGTCAAGTTTGAGTTGATGTGTTGTACCTTTGGGGAGATAATGAACGGAAACTAAAAATTTCATATTATTTTCAAAGTAAAAGGGGCATAACTCTGACAAAAATCATCGAACCATGACGAAATTCGAACATGACCTGTATTTTCTCATGACAAATCCTTATGTCAAGTTTGAGTTGAATGTGTTGTACCGTTGGGGAGATAATGAACGGAAACTGAAAATTTCATATTATTTTCAAAGTAAAAGGGGCATAACTCTGCCAAAAATCATCGAACCATGACCAAATTCGAACTTGACCTGTATTTTCTCATGAAATATCCATATGTCAAGTTTGAGTTGAATGTGTTGTACCGTTAGGGAGATAATGAACGGAAACTGAAATTTCATATTATTTTCAAAGTAAAAGGGGCATAACTCTGCCAAAAATCATCGAACCATGACCAAATTCAAACTTGACCTGTATTTTCTCATGACATATCCATATGCCAAATTTGAGTTGAATGTGTGCAACTGTTCTTAAGATAATGAACGGAAACTGATGATGACGGAATGACAGAAGGATGGAAGGACGGAATGACGGAACAGGGTAACACTATATGCCCCGGCCATTACATGGCGGGGGCATAAAAAATACATGTAAATTTCCTCTGTTATGGTTATTATAATTATGTCTTGACTGTATTACATTCTGTGAACATGATTGGTTTATTTTTATTCAGATGATGTAGCTGTTTTGAAGTCGAGGGTAGAAGAGCTTGAGGATAGGGAAAGGAAACTTCTAAAACTGAAAGAAGAAAATGAAGCAGACTTTGGACAAAAACGTGCAAGATTCAGAGAACTGTTCATGCAAAAAGAAGGTTTGTTGATGTTGCTTCATTGTTTTAAACAGATGTTTCAATAAAGATCCTGTATGTTGTGATTAAAGTGGTAAACCACACAAAGTGAAATTATATATATGTATATAATTATGCAAATAAAACAATTTTCAAACATCGAAGAATATGTAAAATATGTACTGCAAATATTTGTGCATATTATATGTAATCATTAAATATATGCATTCATTTCTTATTGTAAAATTTGACTTAAACTTTAGAGAAAATAAATTTTTATTACCTCCTTTTATTTACATGAAATTCTAAATTTAAATTAAAATTTTAAATTTAATATCTTTATAAATAATGCTTTTGGAACCTACAATATTGATAAATCTTAATTTAAGCATCATATTTATGATTAAAAACCATAAAAAAGTTATGTTACAGGATCTTTAAGTATGAAAAAGGACATTTTTTAAAGTAGTATGCGATGGTATTTAAGCACTGAGGATATTTAAACAGCTATTTAATATAAAAAGTGTGGCCCTTTATTATACAAACAGTGAATTTTCATTGTCTTACTGAGAAAAATAATGTATGCATTTTGGTAAAGAGTGATAAAAAATCGAAATACATGTATTATGAAAACTTTTTTTGTAGTGCTGTCTTTTGCATGTTTTTTTTGTGTGTGTGTGTGTGTGTGTGTGTGTTTTTTCAAAGGGATCTTTCAATAGGTTTTAAAATATTTGCTGAGTTGACTAAACAGGGCTCTTTAATAAATTTTTATCAATAGATTAAAGTGATGATCTTGTGATTGACAGGGAAGTATGAAGTATTTTTATCAGTGTGTATATATTCACCATATCTCTAATCATGAGTGGTCTTTGATAAGTTTAATAAGTTTATCAAGACTGTAATAATGTACATTAATATATTATGTGTATTTTTTCAAAGATATGTAGCTCAACTTTGATCAAAGTTTAAGGTAACAAAATATAATGTCAGTATCTCCCCTACATTTGCTTCTTAACTTAAATGATTTAAATGATCATGGAATACATGTATAAGTATAATTTATATTGCTGATATTCTTTGAAAACAAGCCCCCCCCACCCCCCCCCCCAATAAAAAAAATAAAAACATGTAGTACCATTAATTTTGGGCTCAATGTCAATGACTCATCAAATTGCTTCTTTTGAGTACTATATAGATATATAAATTATATAAGTAATGTATCCAGTAAAAGGAAAATAATAAATGAAGGAAGGATGTGCATTAATGTTCAAAGTTTGTGTTTGTTTGTGCTGAAGGATAATATAAAGAAAAAGAGACCAAAACGTAATCCATTCATGTTATGCCATTTATCAATATACTGCTCAGTGTTAATATATCGCAATTGTTTTTTTTTCATTACATCAATGTTGTATATAAAGTGAACAGCTGTTATCTTAAATTAATTGAGATCTGTTTACATCATCAACATCATAAATTTTCAGGCAAAAAATCTTCAGTGAATGATGTACTTTAAATAACAAACATAAACATATTGTGGCATGCACTGAATGAAAGAAAGAGCATTGCAATGTACAAATGGCAATTCCAGATTACTCATTGTTCCGGGGTGTCCATGGCCAAGTGGTTAAGGTTGTTGACTTCAAACCACTTGCCCATCACCTCTGTGGGTTCGAATCCCAACAGGGACTTTGGATTCTTTCATGTGAGGAAGCTATCCAGCTAGCTAACAGAACGTCAGTTGTGCCCGTTGGTGCCTGAAATAATGCAAAGAAGGGCACCTGAGGTCTTCCTCCACCAGTAAAGCTGGAACATAACAATATGACCTATACTGTGTTGGTGTGAAGTAAAACCCAATCAAACAAACAAACTCATTGTTCTGACTAATTTTGACCATGAAATCCCTAAAAATCAAATTGTTCTTAAAGAAAGGTTTCAGATGAAAATCAGTAGATTAAACAGACAAGTAAATCAAAAAAAAAAAATTCTGGCTCTGTTTTGTCATTCAGATTTTTAATGAGGGGAAAAAGTTTGCTTTGTTTTTTTTTGAAAATTAAAGCAATACACTGTACATTATATGCAAGACGTAACTTTTAAGTTAAAAGAAAAGTTAGAAAACTGGATGATATTAAAGAAAATATCCATGGGAAGACTATTGTGCCTTTATGTAAGTAACATATAACAGGAAGTGATCAGAGTTGTGAATTATCATGTATATACTATATATACAATGTACATGTATACTATACATATATAAATGATTATTACTCATCCTTAGATCTATTTCAATTATTTTCCAAATTTAACCCATAACCTGCTGGGAATGAAAAGTGACCAGCCTTTGCTACCATTATAGAGCCAGGCCAGCCTACACATGCTTGCAATCTGACTAGACTATATTATTGGTGGCTCAATCTGTGTGTCGCTTCTACGGAGAAGTGGCAAAATATAGGGATCCCTTCACTGTCATCTCTCTGCCCGTCTCTCCGCAGGATCGAATAAGGATAGGGGGCCACCTAACTGTAAACAGCACAAAAGATAACAATAGAGTTCATTCTGGAACAATAGAATAAAGGACCATTGGTCCTCTATTAAACAAAAGAAAATAACAAAAGGAATGGCTTCTTATTCTATTTTGGCCGGACGTCCATCTGTCCGTCCATCACAAAACTTGTCAGAATTCAGCATTCAGCTGGTTAAAGGTTGATATATATAAATGAAAACCCGTGTTTAATTTTTCAGCTGAACTAAAAGCTGATAAAGATAGAGTGACAAAACTGGAACAAGAGTTAAAAGAGACAAAGTCCGAGCTGGAAGATATCAAGACAGCAGTGGCTGTGTCGGAGGCAAATAAAGAGGAGGAGATCGCTAAAGTACGCAGACAGTGTGAGCAGGAGATACAGACAATGCAGGCATTGTTGAAAGGTAATCAAAGATGACATTTCAGCCATTGAAGTCTTTCACAGATACATTTAAAGGCCCATTATGCCTCAGAATGCCTTAATTACTTAAGTTCTAGTACTAGAAATATTTGCAGACTACCAGGATAGTATAGTATAGATCAGTGTACTGTTTGTCACATGTCTCTGATTGTTTCTAAGTTTTTTTCTGCTTTGATCTTCATAGATGTATTTCTATAATTGACAGTGGACTTTTCATAATGCATTATGCCATATATGTTTTAGAATGAGTAAAAATCTTTCAGCTAGTTAAGATATTAATTAAATGGAATGATGGTGTAGTATTTAAGTACATGTACTCTGTCGTACATCTAAGGAAATTAATGGTTTTGAACTTTGCTTTGGGCAGAGACTTTTTTCCTCACATGTCACTAGTGCTGGAAGTAGAGCTAAGAGTGCTTCTTAAATGCTCAAACCTTTCATCATAATCAAGCAAGATTAAATATTTATTAATTTAATATAATTTTTTTTTTGCCATTTCAAACAGAGGCTGCGGAAGAGGCATCTAGCTCGACTGCGGCACAGTATGAATCAGAGAGAGCCAAACTAAAGGAGCTGAATGAAAATTACGAGGAGGAAATACAGTCAATACGCAGTCGACTGTCACAAGAAAGACAGCTTGACAAAGGGTAATTATACTTGTTATTAATTTCTGTAAAAAATGTTAATCTGTACTACCATATTATTTTTCAATTTATTGGTTTATAATGTAGACTGTTTGCTATTGGCTGTACAACCACATATCTTGTGTTCGTTTTGAACATACAGTTAGCACACAGTAGACTGTCTTAATGAACATGGCTTAATCAGATGTGTTTGTGCTTCTAGTACTTTTTATGGTTACAAATAAAATTGTGTTATTAAAAGTCCTGTTAGAAAGTTAAGATAGTATCATAAATATTTTGTCCTTTAATACATTGCTGATAAAGGAAGATAAAGAGATTAAGGCACTGAAGTTAAGTACTTCATAAGAATATTTAAAGTTGTAGTTGAATCCTACTTAAATAAGTAAATTTCCTGGACAGAACACAAACTGTATGTAGAACCCAAATAAGTTTTAATTACCAAGAAGATGCAATATTGAATATGATATGCATGTATTATTTGTGTACTATTAATAACCCATGAAATATTGAATAATACATTACAACCTGTGCAGAGTGGCCCTCTGTAGAACAACAGTTTCAGTTCTTCCCAAAGTTTAGACTGTACAATAAATTTAATATTTATAGAGAAATACATAATGTACCTTTCAGCATCAACCAAAATGTTTGTCTCCTAAAAGCTTTTACTCTGCAGAGGTTTTTTTGTACATATAAATTTTGTATGTCCTGTATGTAATTAAGTTTTAAAGCCAATAAATTTGAGCACCGGACCATTATTAGCCAGTTAGGACAAACTAGGCTAATTATGCAATGAAAGCAAAAAAAAAAAAAAAAAAAAAAAAAAAAAAACAAACAACTAAAAAGCAAGAACAACAAAGCCATAATGTAAACTAAGCTACAGTGTGTGTCAAGCCAATATGTCTGCCTTTGGCCTATTAGGAAAAAACCAATATGAATATAATCTAATTATACAATACAGTACATTACGTAACATTTTCATATTATATTTGTTCACAGGAAAGGTTTCCTATCGTCAGTTGCTGACATTGTTTCTAGAGGGACGGCATCATTGAATCCAGCTAGTTCTGATTCTAATACAGAAGCTGAATCTCTAGAGGAAGATATGAGAAAAGTATGTACATAAATAGTAGTATTTTAATAATTAATGGCAAGAAAAATGCAGACATAATATACATGTGTTATTGTAGGTAAAAGCAGTCTGTATTAAAATACTAGAAGGTATATACTATAAATCAAGAAAAGTACAAAAAATGTAATGGGAAGAAAATGCAGACAAAATATACATGTATCTTTGTAGGTAAAAACAGTCTATAGTTAGATAGTAGTAAAATTCTAGAAAGTATAGACAATAAATCAATTATATTGAAAAGGGCCTTTGAATTCCTTCATGTAAAGAAGCTATCTAGCTAGCTTACAGGTTGTCCATTATTTTACACTGTTGCTATAGAAAGTTCAGATGACAGGAGAAAGATGAGTATTTGCACATGAGTCTTGTCCAAAAGGTAAGGAAAGTGACCATTATATTAATCACTTCCATAAAATTGTAATTAATATATTTCTAGTGTTTCTTTTGTTCAATAATTTTTTATTTTAATTATTTATTTTTCACAGGCACAACAAGATGCTGAGATATTGAAATCTGTTGTTTTACCATTAGAGCAAGAGATTGAAAGTTTAAAACAGAAACTGAGAAAACAGACAGATAATGTTAGGTCTTTAGAGAAACAGAAACTGCAGGTAAATTGTTTTTATCTCATTCATATAATGTAATGTTTTATTGTAATTGCCATTCAGGCTATCACTTTGACTGTAAACTGGCTTCTAAATTTATCTGATTGAGGTAGCAGACATAGAACCCCTTTATTGCTGTTAATAAGAGTTAATTTGAGTCTGTGACTGAGTGGTTAATGTTGTTGACTTCAAATGACCTTCCTCTAAGGGATTATTTTTTTAAAAGCATTAAAGAAATTTATTCTAGAAAGTTATTTGTCATTATTCTGTTAAATAAACAAAAAGTAAAACTGGGTTTATCTAGCAAAATATACATATATAGATATTAAAGTAGAACACCACTTTTTTATGGTTTGAAAATTTAAGAAAATGAACTCCGAACATAAATACTGTGATGTTTCAAGGCACATAACTATTTCTTGAATGCTGTCACTTTTTTGTGAAATGTAAAAATTCTGTTTTCCATAAGTAATTGTAATATTCCACTATATTCTGTAATTACTGATACAAGGTGCAATGTTTTACAGTTACAGGAGAAACTTGTATCATTGCCGAATGAGTTACCGAGTCCGACCAAAACTACATCACTGCCTTCCTTGGATGATATAAAAGATCCGGAGGAAAAGGTATGACCCTTTGAAATTGTATGTTATGACCATAAACCCGAGTGCTGAAAGAGCTAATGTTGTATCTAAGATTTCCTAAAAACCGATTTAAGTGAATCATGAAACATACCATTGATAATAGATGTAACATGATTATAATAACCTTCAGCTGACTGTTGGTACATACCGACAAATCTGGCTTAAAAGCAGTAGTGAGGTTTTACTGAATTAAGTTTAACCAGTTACCTGAAAGCCTGGTATTTTTATTTGTACAGGCAGTAAGCACTTGGTTCTTTTTCATGCAAATTACATCCAACTTTTTTCATATAGATTACAAACAACTTAAGCTCAAAAAGGAATGTCAAAAACCAATATTATAACCCTTCACCTGCTGGAGCTGAAAGTAATTAGTGTTTGTTACTCTTAAATGAACTGGCCTTGCAATGTGACCAGGTACCTAACTGTTGACTGACTGACTGTACATTTTTATCTTGATACCCCTAAAATTGATAATGGACAGTTCCAAAAATTTGGAGCTGGGCAAGTCCATTTAATAAATTCAGTAGGTAAGTATTCTTTTAAGTGTTTTAAGTGTTGATATATCAACAAAATAAATTTTGAAAAAACATCAGATGCATAAAAAACTCCAGATAAATATAAATTCTCTAAAAATACAAAATAGATTTAAAAAATGAAAAAGGAAAAGAAGAAAAAGAAAACAGAATATAAAAATGACCTCTATGAGTGTATTGTTTTATTTATTCCACCAGATACAACAGTTAATGAAGTATTTAAAGGCTGAGAAAGCTTCTAGAACAGATCTAGAGATGTATGTAGCTGTTCTTAGTACACAGAAAAATGTTCTTCAAGATGACAATGATAAAACAAGAAATGAGCTGAAAGAAGGTATCGCATGCTTTATGTTTAATTTTGCTGGTTCAAACTGATTCTCTTAATTATATTCATGTTTGTTTACTTGTATGTTGTAGTAAGTATATGTCCAAAACATCAAAGAATATAAGCATTCAGGCTTTCATGGGCAATCTTAGGTTCTTAAACACTTCTTTATATATACATTTGGTAACATAAGTACATGTTACATACGTCTTTAATATCTAGGCATTTGGATAAATTTTTGCTGCTTTAAATTTGGAAAGCTCCATTCAGAATAGAGCAGCCAGCCCACATAGCTCATTTGGTTAGAGTGTAGGACTTTTAGTGTCAACATTATGGGTTCGATTCCCGGGCTGTGCCACAAAAATTTCATCTTTTGGATGAGACTTTAAATTGAGGTGTTATTAATGAGCGCATAAACACTTGGCATGCTAAAGTACCAGGATAAGCTTCTGGAATTGGGGCATCTTTATGTGTCATTATCTTGCACTAACCTCCAAAATCTAAAATGACTAATACTTTTCTGAAGGATTTGTCCATATAGGTAACTGGTGGCAGGTATAAATAAACTCAAATACACTCATAGAATAGATTCTTCGCTCATTTACTGATGTTATTGTTACAGTATGTACTTATACTGGTGAAGAAAGAGGTCACATAACCGTTTGAAGGGAATGGCGATGGCAACGATCATTCCTCGATCTCCAAAAGATTTGATGATGGACATGAGAAGAATGGAAAGTTTGCTGTCAGCAGAACAGCAGAGATTACTAGCAGGTAGATCGTCTATGCTTGTTGATCTATGCTTATTGCTTCATCTATGATATGTGGTTTCTATAAATTGACTATATGTCATATATTTGAAAAATTGTTATTTTGAAGAAAAAATGCACAGTACAGTAAACTTAGCTTATAATGATATTGAGGGGACCACACAATTTATAAGTTTGTATATGAGAAGTTACCAATATGATAACAAGTCTGGGACTGCAGCAAAAACTTCATTATAAGTATTATATTGTTATAAGCGATATTGTTATAAGTGGAGTTTACTGTAGTACTAGTAAGTACAAATGTAGGTGAAAATTTTACTTTCACATGAGATGACAACTCTTTGACATTTTTATAATGTGTAAAAAAAAGGTTGTAAATGAAAGTTATATGAATATCTTATTTGTTAGTGAGATATATCTATATTCAAAATATTAACTCACATAAAACAATGTATATATCTTGAACTACAGTAAGTGATGAGGGGTAAGTGCATATAAATTTGCTTTTGTTCATCTTGTTCTGCTGTTGCACAGTCCATCCATAGACTGGCAAAACATTGGAATGAGTAGGAATCAATGCCCCTATTGGCACATTTCTAGGTTTTTCAAATTTAAACTTTATAAGCATGATGTTATGAGTAAGAATCATTGTATTATATTCAATAGAACAACAGAAGAAAGATCTGGAGAGAGAGGCTCAACAGAAGAAGGTGAAGATTTGGAAGAATTGAGATTTAAAACAAGAGAAAGAACAAGAGCTTCTAAAGAATACAGGTCTGTGTGTTACCCAACCTTTAGTCATTGAGATAGACTTTAGATCTTTTCTTTTTTCCAACAATGAACTGGTATAGTTACTTTAGTACTTAGTGTTGCTTCATCTTTAGCTTCACTATTTGAAAATAGAGGGAGCTACTTAGCAGGTCCTCTGCTTCACAAATGGTTAAGTTTTTGTGTGTGCAAGTTATTGGTATCTCCAAAAACTACTGAAGGAATGGATAGAAACTTCATACGTTAATTTGAGAACATTATAATAGGTCCTGTCCAAGGCTCGTAACTCTCACATGCATTTTTGAATAAATTATGGTCCTTTTTTAAATTACAAAATTCTTCATTATCCAGGCTCTTGTTTTACTATCAAGCACTGAGAATAGTCGAGCATGTTGTCCTACCCACAAACAGCTCTTGTTTTCCTCTTAAAATGTTTATATCATATTTTAAGGTCATGCAAAGTTTAAACAAATTCTATTACACAGTTTCCATTCTGCTATATGTATATATGCAACCCTATTATATGCCTTTAGTTCTAATTTGGTTTGAATGAAAAAGTGTTACTTGCTTTTCAGAAGGGGCTAAACAGGTTGAAGAAAGTACAAAAGTAAGTATTTGTTAACATATTACAAACATAGAGCAGTTATAACATAGGCAAGCAGGACTGTTTGCCGACTTTGAAAATTACCATATAAAATTACCTTTATTGAAGTCTTAGTTAGTATTGTGACAAATGATTAAATAACTACGACATTTACACCTTAATTTTACTTCTTGCCCAAAAACTAAGCCATTTGATAATGTTTTAGCACATTTTCTACTTAACCGCCTTTATTTACAAATTTAGAAATGAAGTTAAAGAAGATTTCTTTTTCCTTTCATTTTTGCAGAAATTTGAAGAAAACAAGAGCTAAGACTTTCAGACAGATTATTCAGTGACAAAAGTGCGTCAAATACTTCGATAAATTCTGTTGGATCTATAGACTCGTTGAACTTTGACGACAGTCTCGCTGAAACGTCGTTAAAAAAATCTCTCTCGAATTCCGAGATAAACTCTTTATCAGAGCAGGAATTCCTGCGATAGTGGATTACATGAGACTCAGTCGTTGAGCGAGTGGATAATTTAACTATAAGGATTTCTCCGGAGAAAGTGATAAATTTACCTTCCCTCACTGATGCACAAGTCAGAGCTATAACAGGTTGGATTTTAAAACGAGTTTTATTTTTATTTTTATTGTTAACATAGATTGACTCTTTACCCTATTGCTACATGTTTTAGTGTGCATGCAACCAGTGCAGATCCAGATTAGCCTGCACATCCATGCAGTCTGACCAGGATCTGCACTGGTCGCTTTTATATTCATGAAAATATTTCTGAGTGAAAATCCTGCGTGAATGTGGAGGTAGATCTGAGTCTGCAATGGTCACATATGGATAATACACGTATCTATGGAGTAAAGGGTTAAATGGTGGTCTACACTGTTTAGATATACTCAGCCCTTCAATTATTTTTTTGCACTTACTCACATGTGTATTTTACTTTATCCAGCATAGGCGTTGAGAGATCAGAGAATCTCCTGTAACTCACTCAAAGTCTTGACACCCAGCATTCATTGTCCAGAATGACAGAATAAATGTGATTTGTGATAACTTTATCAAGTCTTTCTTTCAGCGAATTCAATGTTTATGCACTTACATCAGTACTGTATCTGGTAAACTATTTCTTTTTCCACATTTCTCATTGAAAAAATTGTTGACGAAGTCTGTCTTGCATGATTATACATAAATTCAGCTAAGAATTAGTTAAAGTATATTTATGTTATTGCAGCTCCTACACCAGAAAATGAGGCGAGAAAAAGTTTAATAGCCAGTGCCAAATCTAAAACAGATAGTATATCACTGCAAGGCAAACGTTTAGTTAGTGATAAAGAATGGCGATTAATGCAAGAACAGGTAAATCTTTACTTCTTCTTTTCTGTATGTGTGTTTTCATAGGATTACAATAAGTGTATGTGTCATAGGAGTGTTTAATTTCTGTGTGGAAACTAGAAAGTAAGCATGGTACAGAGTACATCTAATGATTGAGCAAAGGGAGAGAATTTTTTATGCTCTCTGTGATTTGTAATAAAGTGAAAAAGTTTTAAATACAGATTTGAAATGTATATATAAACCGTCTGAGTTTACTTAGCATGTTTTTAATTTTGAATTAAAAATGTCGAAACCTTTTGTTTAACATCGTTTTGGCAATGCTCAAAAATTTAAATTACGACAAGTTCTGATATACAGAATCGGTCAAGAATGGTTTAATTTACTTGGTGTTTAAGAAAATTTTCTATTTTTAGCTGCGAGCAGCTCGAGTGAAAAGCTTGGCAGGCCGTACTGTGATATGTGCAATAATTACGAAGCTCAACTACAAGGTGTACAAGATGAACTGAAAAGAAGAGCGAGCCTAAAACTGCGGGTCCTTCGTGAACGCGAGTCAAATGCAGAAAAACAGACCATAAACAGTCAGAAAAATTATATAACTTAAGAGCTGGAAGAAAAAATTAAAAAAGACGCTGCTTCAGATAACAGATGAACAGGTTAAGAAATCATGTATTATATTAAACCTTGTTAAACTTCTTAATAAACATAACATTATTATTTTATTAGTCTTAAGCACATTAACAGCTCATCGACATATTACATATAATATGAACACGTATTTTGTAGCATGCGTAAATTTATTATCATATTTACAGAAATAGACAAGAAAAAACACATACATTATACACAAAACAGCTACACACAATAATAATCAACAGTGAGAATTCATATACCTTTAATATCATTAATACAATTTTATGCAACATCGCTTTTGTGACTTCATGAAAAATGGTATTGCACAAATGGCATGAATTTTGACGTGACATCATTTGTGTTATAAATTGTAAAATTGCGCTAAATGTTAGCGTTTCTCTATAGGCGCATGAATGAAAAAATGGTTCTTTTTCACTTTTAACCGTCTTTATTTTGGGAATGTGATAAATAGAATTTTAAATATGTGTAAGTTCATTACTGAATTTATTGAACTCATTGAATAGAATTATATTATGGTCACCAGAGACTTGCATAATATAATTTTATTCATCTCGTTCAATAAATTCAGTATTATACTTACACTCATTCAATATCCTCTATGTGTATATAGTAGAAAAATAAGCATATTATCATTTTAATAGTATATGATATTCAGATAATTTAAAGGCCATATTAGATATAGGAAATTATAGATAAATTCTCTCTGTTTTTGTACAACAGATTGGAAGTTTAGTGAACAAAGTGAAGGAATGTGAGAAATATATGTCAGAACTGAGGCAGCAACATAATTCCGCGCAGGTAGAACTTCAAGAAAGTTTGGTAAGTTTGTTTAATGTTCCATTCTGGTTTGACGTAGAATTTGATAAAGGAATATGTACTAGTTTCATCTGAATTGTCATTAAAATTATGTATGAGACCAAAAAATGAATACTAATTTAGTGAATATACATCAAAATGATTTCTGTTGTTAAAAATGACAAATACTGTATTGTTTTGTACCATAATTTCAAAAGTCACTTAAAAGTGACCCTTTATTTCTGTAGAGGTTTTGTGTTATAAATGACAGTAATGTAAGTCTTATTGAAGTACAAGTTCATTACACAGTACTTATATTAAAGTATGATGTATTTGTCTATTTCAGAGAAGTCTTTCATCAGAAAGGACAGAGGTCCAAAAAGAGGTAAGTCTACATTACTTGTGAACAGTAAACACAAGAGGTGTTTCAGTCAAATGCAGAAAGCTTAGATCATTCTATTTTGCTGCATAAGCTGTTATATAATGTCAATAAAAATGACAAAATATTTGTGCATAAAAGTAATGTTAGACACCATGTGAAACATTTTCCTTGAACATTCTAAATAAAATTCTAAATTTAAATTCTTTTTAATGTCACTTAAAATATCTTAAAATTAGTTTTAAATGCAAGACAGACTTAAACTAGTCAAACTATCCAAATTTTTAAAATGTTTTTCAGACAAATATACTTCTTCAATATAAACTATCTTTGTGGCACCTCTCTGTTTTAAAACCCCTTTGGGCATCAACATGTATACATGTCAAGGAGCAATTTATCTGGTCAATGCCAAGACGGTGGTTCTACATGAGTGCTTAGTCAGGTACTTGCTTGTGACTGACATAATTTTAAGTAGGGGCATCTTAGGTCTTCCTCCACCAGTAAAGCTGGTTAAGTCGCCATATGGCCTATAGGGTGTTGGTGCGACTTAAACCAACAAATACAAACATTAAATCATACAATGATAATGTTCTCTGCATATCTTGAAGTAAATTACAGGTAAAGATAGATTTTACCATGGTAAGTTATCCACATTCCAGTTTATTACTTTCTGCTACTAAGAACTGTTCAAATGGATCTGATGGAAATTCTTTGTTGTATTCCAGCTGTAAGTTCTTTATAACACGGTTTGTTGAATCTTGCCAAGAAAATTTGTTTAATTTTTCAGTTTGTTAATTAAAAAAAGAGAAGATTCTTACAAGGAACTTTTTAAACATGCAGGGCAACTGCAGAATGAAGATATCAATCTACCAAACAATCTGGACGTAAGTTAATATATTTAAGATATATACTATATTTTGATGATTTCTTAATTCATTAAGATATTAAGTTTACAACATTCTTCTTTTTGTTTTTGATGGTTTATTGGCAATAATTAAAGAACCCCGTAATCTCTATTTCTGACTTTAGCTCAAAGCCTTTAGTGCTGGGGATGTATTGCCCAAGGTTTTTAGTCATGTGTTTTTTAATTAATGTCTAACACATTTTATCCCAGTAGGTCACAGGGATAAATAACCTGCATTACACCTTTAGATTTGTTTTTTTATGGAGGATATTCACGTATATCTACTTAATAAATATCTTTTGTTAATTTAAGGATATTCACTTATACTGTCTTTATAAATATCTTGTGAATTGAAAGGTATTCACTTATTTTGCTTTATAAATATTTTTTGTGAATTGAAGGATGTTCACTTATACATGTATATACTTTATAAATAACTGTGAATTGAAGGATATTCATTTATTTTTGCTTTATAAATATCTTTTGTTAATTAAAGGATATTCACATATATCTGCTTTGAAAATATCTTTTGTTGATTGAAGGATATTCACTCATATCTGCTATAAAAATATCTTTTTGCATCTGCTTGATATGTATGGTATTTTTATTTTTCTTTTGGGGGGATTTCTTCTTCTCATATAAAAGTTTTTGTCTATTTAAGGTATAAATTACTGCGCAAAAAGTTATGAAAAATCATTCAACAAAGGGTTGAAAAAGGCAACAGGATCTCTAAAGAGTCAGATAATTTCCTCAAAGATGGGTTTTGTATCCGAGCAAAAGAAGCCCCGATGGAAAAACCCTCAAAGAGATCTTTCATTACAAAAAAGATTAGGTTAGTTTGTTATATAAGCTTTTGCAGTGTATTTTTTGTCAGATAGCTATGGGAAAAGGAGACAAACCTTAGAAATGTTGGTTTGGGTTGTGCTTAATAAGCGATAAAAAAACTTTAAAGTGTAAATTCATTAAAATCTTTCATTGGAGCATAGTCACTGGCTTGTCCTTTTGTCCATCATTTGTGACACATAGTGTTACCTTTTGATATATTGACTAAAATGTTTGAATTTTGGGTATTAAGGAATCTTACATTGACTTCAACCCTTTCATGTTGTTTCAGGTTGGTAGTTTCTAAATTAATGCCCTTATAACTAAAGATAGGTATTCCTACCTTTCCCCTTGTAGTTTCTTATCTAAACTATTAGAATGAAAGCTTTTCCATGAGTAAGAGCCCTGAAGAAAAATCCCCTGTAAGTGTCTGTCAATTCCAAAATTTTTACTGTGATAAACTTAAAACTGATAATGGACTGTTCTAAAATGGAAATTTGGCAAGTCCATTAAATTTCAACATGTCCAGTGATATAGCTCAAAATGAGCATTGTATTTCATGGATGATTTGTTTTCTAGCCATACAAGACAGTATAAAGTCAGAGTTTGATAGAGAGGCTGCAGTGCGTGCACAGGCCGAGGCCAAGCTACGTGAGATGGACAAAGCATTAAAAAGTCAGCAGGCACAAGCGAAGCAGCTAATTGGTGGATTAAAAAAACAATTAGAGGAGCAGTCCAATGCAAGGGTATGTCATATTTCACAAAGATTTTATGAATGGATCGGTCCTATAGCAGCTTGTCTTAAGATGGACAGAAAAAAATTGAGGGCATTGCTGACATAGTGGTTAAGACTTTCAATAATTTGCCCCTTACCACTGTGAGTTCAAATCCAGGCATTACCCTTGGTTTTTATGGTGAAGCTGTCATGCTGTCATATGACTACATGTTAGTTCTTCTCAAGTGCCTGCATGTGCCTGACAAAAATGCACAGAGTAACAAATTCTTATAGCCTTAAAGCTGAAGAGTAAACACAATTCTTTAATAGTGAACCTAAATGGGAGGCAGAAATGAGCTTTAGATATTTAAAAGATATCATAGTCGAGATAAGAAATAACAAAATGGTATGCTAGTTTTATTTTAGTCGATGTTTTAATATAAAAATTCCTTTTAATTTTGAGCGTCTTGCATCAATTTTCAGCTCAAAGCCTAAAGTACTTTCTTGTTTTCTCTAGCATAATGTTGTTATTTAAAAATGAGTTTTTAGGGAATAAAAATTTGTGGTTTCTTTTTTTTTTTTTTTTTTTTTTTTGGAGTAGTTATGGGAAGACAACCTTAATATGAAAAAGAAAAATTAATGGACAATTATAAGAATGCTTAAGTAAATTCTTCTTTGAGTTTTCAGAGGAGAAAAAAGTTGGAAATGTTAAACAGTTCAATGATGAAAATTACATGTGAAAATGCTATGTTTTCAGATTCAACTAGAAAACGAAGTTCATTCACTCAAAGTAAAAACACAGTCATTACAAACAGAGCTTGATAATAGTGAAATTGTACAAAGAGATTTTGTAAAGCTTTCACAGTCACTTCAGGTAACTTTGTTCTATCTGTGAGATATAATCGATAACATTCACTGTATATCATTCACAGAATATCACTCATTGTCTTACACTCACTGAATAATTTTATTGTGAATTTGCTTACTTCTATTTGCCTAATGTGTTATTAGCTATAGGTTTATAATCATATTTTCATAATCACAGTTTTCAGTGTGTTATGACCAGTTATGTGTCAATGTGCCATTAAACTCATACTAACAAACAAACAATTTACTCATTGTATATATTTTTAACTGGATATCACCTTTATAACTCAATTTACTTCACAAACTAAATAACACCCACCATTTAGGTATCGCTATAAAAATTGAAATTATTCATGAAATAAATTTTTTAAAAATCTTTAAAGGTAAATTGGATTTCTTGAGATGGCAGTCTACTTATAGAATGTGTAGGGTTCTACTGAAGAACATGTATGTGTCTTAAACTTACCAATTGGTGGGATCAAGTTTAACTATGAAAATTTAATAGTGTCATTGTGATGAAGAAAAATATTAAACAATATTACGGCTTAGTAATAAACCATGTGTACTTAATAATTTTTGTTCAGCCTTCAAACGATCAAAAGTTAGCTTCAAATATATAGAGAGGAAGTTATTATTTTAAACACCAACAATAACAATGAATAATTATGGTGTTTTTATTGGACAGATCCAGTTAGAAGAAATTAGAAAATCAGAAACTGAGGTACGCTGGCAGAATGAAGAGGACTATGATGACTGTCATTCTTGTAAACAAGCATTCTCTGTAACCAAAAGAAAGGTAATATTACACACAAGCTTTATATGTAACCAAAAGTAAAGTATTAACACACAAGCGTTTTATGTCACCGAAAGAAAAGTACCTAGCTACAAGATTTCTGTGTAACCAAAAGAAAAGTAACTAGCTACAAGAACTTTCTGTACCCAAGAAAAAGGTAAATTGGTACAGAAATTTTGTGTAACAAAAGAAAAGTTATAACCAATTAAAACATTATTTGTTACGAAGAGAAACCTGTAACAATCATTCTGTAAGCATTTAAAAGAAAGCCAACTATCAGAACCCCTAAGATAGGTGGCTATCAACAAGCTGAAAAAATTTAACTTCTGTTTTATTATATGTAACAGGACAATTATTTGCCTATTTTAATGGATTTCTTTGCACTCAACTTCCATAAAAAATGACTTTTGAAGTTAAAAAGTTGCGCAAAATTAAAGATTTATATTGTGAAATTAAAAATTTAGGAAATGTTATTTCTTTATACTTATCTTTTCTTTTTTTCAGCATCACTGCAGACATTGTGGTCGAATATTTTGTTCAGATTGTATAACAAAGACTGTAAATAGCGGGCCGAAGATGCGGCCAGCCAAAGTTTGTGACGTCTGCCACACTATACTGGTTGCAGACGCCATGCCGTACTTCAGCACTGAACCACCCCATACTCCAGATTGAGACAGCACTTGAAGCCTCGTTCTGGGGGACCATACAGTTTGAAGTTGTTCATGAATTTTAAAGATACCCTTCAGTCTATTTTACCCAGTCTCCAATAATGAACTGTTCCATGTAATAAATTGGGCAAGTCCATCATTTGTGAATTGAAATGTTTATTGTAACAATAATTGATCTTTTGGGAGTGATTGTCAAATATCCATAAAGTTGTTTAGACTAAGTTATTTTTTGTAGAAAATATTTTGGCTTTAACTTAATTGTAAGGAAAGTGAGTTAAATCTCCAGATTTGACCCATCAGGCATTGGGTTATATTAATGAGATAAAAAAAGCATTTCCTTATGAAAAAAACAATTTATGGTTCTTCCTTTGTTATAATGGAGTTAAGGTTTTATTGTTGTTATTTTTTTTTTAATTTTGTTGACTTTGTATTATTAAAGAGGGTTTTGTTTATTTTGGCTTCGCTTTTAAGCCAATTCTCTAGCTCAAGTCAAAATGCCATTTTTTTATTCATGCAGCATTAGTTTAAACTGTATGATTTTACTCCCTTTAACAAGGTCAAACAAGTGCATGGAAACTGTTTATCATTGCGTATATTTCACCCATTTCCTGTATGCTTTAGTTGTCTCCCTTGGAAGTTTTCTATTTATAGGAAGGCAGAAGACAGAATTTGGAAGACAATGGCATTTTAACTTAACTGAAAAATTATCATTTCTGGGTGTTAGGTTAAGGGATATTTCACATTTGGCTGTCACTTTCTTAAGAATAATAGTAAGACGGTTCAATTTATATTATGTCATAGGTTTTTAATTGAGATCCCATTAATAATATTTGATAGTTTATGAAAGCCTGTTCTAATTAATATTCTAACTTGACAATGCATTGCTGAAGAATGACCAGCATTTTAAAGTACATTTTGACACATAAGAGCAAAACAAGACCAAATTGGCTTAATAATGAAGCAGCAATTTCCTTTTAAATCAGAATTGTCAATTTTCTGTCTTAAATTATTTTTTTAGCTCCAACTTGATTTTCTATAAATATTGTCTTTAAGGCCCTTGTGTGTTGATTTCAGTCATCTCTGGCTCATGCATTTCCTCATAAAGCCCAACAGTTTACTTATTTATATTTCCAGTTAGCAATTAGAGGCCATATTTATTAAGGTTGTAGACATGGACGTGTTCTTCCTTTTCACATTGATTCAAATATTGTTTTTTAATAATTATTTATTATATAAGGTTTTATTACCCTTCCAGATTTTTTCCGCCTTTTTGATTGGATATTGATCACCCGTAAGAAATTGATATAACCGAGCCAGACGGGTAATATACACACTAAATTTCCCCGTTTGGTACCCAACGTTGTCAACAACATGCGCTGAGGTGATGCGCGTACGGTTCGATTTTACGCAGTGTAAAATCCAATTAAAAAGCACATTTTAACTGACAAATGATCAATATTTACCAAAGTAGAGTAATGATACATATTACCATCAGTATCGAAAACAAATATGACCTTGTGAAAGCTTGATATTAATTACAAAAAAAGTGCGTTCAATAGTCTACTCCTTTTCTCTTGTTTACTTTCGTAAGGTACGGGAAAAAACGTCATGTATTTATGTGACGTCATGTTGTGACGGAGAGGTATCCTAAAGGGAATCTTATTTCGACGTTTCATTTGAAACAGCAATGATTTTTTAAAAAATCGTCTAAACTCGGCAGGGGAAGGGTAATAAAATTATTATTTTGGTTTTGGAGTGATATATGTGGATATATTACCTGCCAAGATAAAATATCACCCTCGCCTAACGGCTCGGGTGATATAAAATCTTAACAGGTAATATATCCACATATATCACTCCAAAACCAAAATAACATATATTACACTTGTGTCATATTTTTTTTCTCAAAATCAGTTATACTGCACGCTGGTATATCTGCTAAATTACTTTTAACTATTTGTAAGTAAAACCTTTGGCACTGTGACTAGCATGTTGGAGTACAGTGATAGAAATTACAGTTGAATACCCAATTCCGACATGATTAAAAAAACTGGTGTTACTGTTGAGAGAGCTTGTTTTTTTTTCTGAATTTTGGTATTGTCTCTTGGTGCATGAACTCCTGAGACTTCATGCAGGTATCCTAATTAGCTTACTACATATTGTGTCTTTGTTACAGTCTTTGTAGAACAAACGTACTGCAAATTCAGATATTTTTGTTCGGCCAAAATTTTGCAAAATCATCATTTTGAATCTAACTATTCGAAAATTTCTACTTTTAGTCCTGTTAATTAAATACATATATGATACATAGGGGACATGTATTTTTGCAAAAATCTTCAGTTTGTGAAATTAGCTAAATCTAATGCCTGTTGAAAATTTCTGATTTTACTGAAGGCTGAATAAGAACCCTTTTAATTATGCATTTTTTCTAGATGTGACATTATAAAAAGAACATTAATTATTGTGTTATAGCTTATCTGTTAGAAAACATTGTTTTGAATATGGATTTTTAAAAAAAAAATCTCCTTAGCTTTCATTTATTTTTTTGTCATATTAACTGTAGAAATGCATAGAATGATAGAATATTTTAAGATGGAAAGATTAGCAGAACTAGGTTAGAAGAATTAGAATAAATTAGTTTTTTGTGTGTTTTCTAGTCATAATTTGAAATAGAAGTTCATAGTAAGTTAAAATTATGTTGGCTTATCTGAACAGTATGGTTCTTAATTTATTATATTAGATAGTATTGCATGGAATTTTAAATGAAATCTTCATCGTTTATGAATATTTTCATTAGTTTATTTTCATCTCTTGTATTGCCATGAAAAACTGGAACAAAAAGTTATAAGCCTTTGCAACCATTATAAAGCCAGGCCAGTTTTCACATCTGCCCTTATAAATAGCTCCAGACGTCCGTTGCATTTTCCTTGTCCGAAGCATAACTTGAAAACTAATGGTTGGAATTCAATTTAACTACATACAATGGTCAAGCACATTGAGAGGAAGTGCAGTGCATAATAACCATAACTCTATCTTGACTAATTACAGAGTTATTGCCCTTTGTTAATTTTCCTTGTCCGGGGCATAACTTGAAAACTACTGGTTGGAATTCAAAACAACTTCATACAATTGTCAAACACAATAAGGGGAAGTGCAGTGCACAAGAACCATAACTCTATCTAAAGTAATTACAGAGTTATTGCCCTTTGTTGCTTTTCCATTGCTTTTTTTTTTGTTCGTTGCATTTTCCTTGTCCGGAGCATAACTTGAAGACTAATGGTTGGAATTCAATATAACTACATACAATGGTCAAGCACATTGAGAGGAAGTGCAGTGCGTAAGAAACATAACTCTATCTTGACTAATTACAGAGTTATTGCCCTTTGTTACTTTTCCTTGTCAGTGGCATAACTTGAAAACTACTGGTTGGAATTCAAAACAACTTCATACAATGTTCAAACACAATAAGGGGAAGTGCAGTGCACAAGAACCATAACTCTATCTAAAGTAATTACAGAGTTATTGCCCTTTGTTGCTTTTCAATTGCCTTCTTTTTTTTGTCCGGAGCATAACTTGAAGACTAATGGTTGGAATTCAATATAACTACATACAATGGTCAAGCACATTGAGAGGAAGTGCAGTGCATAAGAACCATAACTCTATCTAAAGTAATTACAGAGTTATTGCCCTTTGTTGCTTTTCAATTGCCTTCTTTTTTTGTCCGAAGCATAACTTGAAAACTAATGGTTGGAATTCAATTTAACTACATACAATGGTCAAGCACATTGAGAGGAAGTGCAGTGCATAATAACCATAACTCTATCTTGACTTATTACAGAGTTACTGCCCTTTGTTTCTTTTCCTTGTCCAGAGCATGACTTTAAAACTACTGGTTGGAATTCAAAACAACTTCATACAATGGTCAAGCACAATAAGGGGAAGTGCAGTGCACAAGAACCATAACTCCATCTTGACTAATTACAGAGTTATTGCCCTTTGTTACTTTTCCATTGCTTTCTTTTGTCCGGACCATAACTTGAAGACTTATTGTTGGAATTCATTATAACTTCATACAATGGTCAAGCACATTGAGAGGAAGTGCAGTGCATAAGAACCATAACTCCATCTTGACTAATTACAGAGTTACTGCCCTTTGTTACTTTTTCCTTGTCCAGAGCATGACTTGAAAACTACTGGTTGGAATTCAAAACAACTTCATACAATGGTCAAGCACAATAAAGGGAAGTGCAGTGCACAAGAACCATAACTCCATCTTGACTAATTACAGAGTTATTGCCCTTTGTTTACTTTTCCTTGTCCAGAGCATAACTTGAAAACTACTGTTTGGAATTCAGTACAACTTCATACAGTTGTCAAGGACATTCAAAGGAAGTGCAGTGCAAAAGAGCCATAACTCCATTTTGACAAAATACAGAGTTACTGCCTTTGATACTTTTCCTTGTCCGGAGCATAACTTAAAACGTACTGGTTGGAGTTCAAAACAACTTCATACAATGGGTCAAGCACAATAAGAGGAAGTGCAGTGCACAAGAACTATAACTCTATCTTCAGTATTTATAGTGTTTGCCCTTTGTTCTTTTTCTTTGTCTTTCTGGACTTATTACAGAGTATTTCAATTAAACTTCATCAATGGCCAACCACATTGAAAGGAAATGCAACATACATGAACCACAATTATCTTTAATTGCCCACAACCATAACTCTTTGTTTCAATTCTTTTACAAGGTATTCTGTTACTAGTAACATCCTCATTTCCGAAGCAGACTTGTGGGGGTATTAATCACATTTAGTGATAGTTCTAGTTAAATTACTTGAAATTCTTAGTTTGAAACAATACAGAATTGTTTTTCCAACAGAATATAAAAGCTGAAGGCTGTTTAAATGGACATTTTCCATCTTTCAGTCTGGACATAAAGGGCACAAGTGTGCTGGCTGATCTTTGTTTTGATTGGTCACATAGGTAGAATCTGTTTCCACCAGTAGGCTAAGGCTTCTTCAAATTCAAAAGTTAAGATGGTTTATTTTCGAAAAGCATTTATTAAAGGTACTATTGTTTATACAGTATAATACTGAGTATTATAAAAATTCAATTTTAATGCTGGTAGATATATACTGAAGTTTTTAAATATTGATTATGGTGTAAAAATAGTGCTTTGTTTTTTGAAACCAGTTTTAAATTTATAAATCATGTTTGCAAAAAGGTTGAATTTTACTCATTAGATATGTATTAGTTATTTGTTTTATACTCTTTTTAGATAATGGTTAAATGATAAAGTATATATCTACAAATGTATGTAGCTATGATTTGTTAGTGGCTGTTTGTGAATGATAGGATTAAGTTTTGATAAAATCCCCTTAGACTCAAGATACTTTATACTGAGGGGGATTTTGTTCTCTTTGAAAAACAAATCAATCCTTTAGGGGATTTTTTAAACCTTTCAAGAATGTTTGTCCACTAGACAATTTTTTTTAGGATTAGAGTATAGTCTATATTATTTATTAAAATAATTGTGATAATCTTAAGATCTGGTTATTTGTGGTGCATTGTTCAGTTTGTTTGTTGTTGCTTTTTTTTGCAAGTGTAGGAAATGTTTGGTTTTAATAATGTGATAAAAGGAAAAGTTTCTTAAAATATATTGTATTGCAGTGTTCAATTTCTACAAATGACATGAATTTGTGTTTTGTAACTTTAACAAGTTTGTTGGGTTTCAAGTCGTACAGATACTTTAAGGTCTTATGGCTGGCTACTATACAAAACAACTGGTGGAGGAACATATCAGAAGTCCCTCCATGCATTATTTCATTCACAAGCACACACCTGAGTAAAAATAATACCAAATCGTGTTGAAAAAATGAAAATTTTGTTCTAATTAATAGAAATGTTGTCAGTTATAAAAGTCAAAGTGTAAGGACTTTCTGTCCACACAAAAATATTACCTTTACCAGTAATTTAGTAAAATATAAGATATGCAGGAATAGTCCTTAACTGTTGGTAACAGAAATATATGATGATAGGAGTAATATTTGATCATGTTTCGCATTAGCCACACAAAGTTGTCAATTTGATTGTGATCATATATTATATACTTTTCTAGACTTTTAATAAATTTTCTTAGGGTTTGATTTTATGAAAATTTGGTTGCTTATCAAATGACAAGCCTTTATTTAAGAAATGTAATAAAATGATAAAATTTATTACATATTTAATTGTTTTGA